AGATGGAGAAACTGTGGCAAGATTGCTTCTGTTTTTTTTTGTGCTATGAATCACCAAGCAAGGCTTAAGATCTCTTTAAACTACCCTCAAACCAAGGTGGGTGTTGTAAGAAGACGAAAATGCCCTTAGTTCTTTTTGATGAATAATGAGTATGTACTTTCTGGGAGATTATTGACACAATCACACAAAACAAAACATTCGCCAAATCATTGTCGGGTGGAAAGCCAAGTGGCTGTACGCACGACCAGGATGTGTGGAATTTTTTTGTAAATAATTGTGATTGTGTGTGTGTCTGTGTGTGTGTATTAGACAAAAGCAACTATGAAAGTAAATGAAACCACAAAGTCTGCAAAGTTGTTCACATGAAGACAGAGACAAGGGAATGAAGCAAAAGCCACCAATGTTTTCACTTACTCGTAGACTTTTTACGTATATTTTATTAGGAAGCCAATATACTTCTTCCCAAATCAATTCAAGGAAAGCAAAAGTGCACATATTCTAAACACAAGACAATAAAATAGTTTGTCTCTCCTATTTGTGTAGATATATTTTTGGGTAATACCACTAAATAACCTTACTATTTTTCAAATATTAACAATGGATAGTCACAGACTCACATCCTTACTATTTTTCAAAAGTTAACAATGGATAGTCACAGACTCACAGTCCATTATCTTCCCCATTCAATAAAAAAAAGCACATACGAATGTATAGTTGTATACACAGCCATTCTCTTTTTTTTTTCATAGCCTTAGGGGCAAAACAAATACAGTACTTAAAATACATAAAAATGTAAACTGAAATGATCATATTCAGCCTTTCTCTTTTTTTCATAACAAATATCAGACATGAAATAAAAAAAACGACAAATCCCCTACCTTATCAAACCACTTAGTCAGTGGCCGGGATCCATTTATCTAACCCTATTCTATCAAAAGCAGAAATATACACATTTTATACATATACATCTTTCTTTATTTTTGTGGAAAAATGTTAATACATATACATCTTTCGTGTACTCCAAGAAAACCACTTAATCTAATACGGCAGACAAGGCTTCTTACAAGATTTCCCTCGTCTCTTAGCATTTGTGTGTCTCCAAACCTCTCGGAGCTTGAAAGCTGCCTTAACCTTACACCACCTGCCTCTCGGAGATCCCGCACCGTTACCAAAACGAACATCATACGTTCCAGCTTCTTCCGTGCCAGACACGCTAACATACAAGTTATACATTTGTTGCTCCCAATCCGCCGCACCAGGTGACCAGTTCGAGCGCGTCTCATGATGGTCTTGGTAAGCTAAATTGTTCTCATGAACACCATCCTCTTCATTCTCTACATAGCCTCTTGTCTCTTCAGTTCGTGATGATTCGCCGTGTACCGGATCGTGTCCGAAGCTGTTTCTGAGACTCTGTAATAATTTTTCGTCCATATGAAACGTCGCAGTTGGTGAGTTTTCGAAACTCATCACCATTTCGGGTTGGACCGTGGAGCTTGCAGTCTTGAAGTAAACAGTCGACATCGAAGAGTCTGATGGGCCCGAATTTCCTTCAGTATCCAAAAGACCGAATAAGTTAGTCAATTCTACGTTAAAGATATATGTCCAACGACTATTAGGGTAAATTGTATACCTTGAAAGTCGATGTGCTGCAAAGCAGGACAAGCTACGCCAAATCCGGGATCTTGCGTGCATTGCAAGGACCTTTGTGGATGAAGACCCGTAAACGGCCTAAAACGGTTTAGGTTTAGATAAGCTTCACGCTTCAGCTGTTCAAGCTGATAGATAGGTAGCTGATCGGGGTTTACAACCGTGCCATCGCCGAAATACACTTTGATCACTTCATAAACAGAGTTGAAGAGAAGAGACACGCCATGCGCGTTTGCGTTGTATATGTAACACTCTGTTTCATCCAAAACGCAACGCATCGCGTGGGATACAATTGCTTCCCATGTTCTCTTTGAGATTCCTACACCAAGTATCTGTTCAACAACAAAAAGAATATCAGTTCTGTGAAAGATTATTAACATTAAGATCCATTTAAATTAATTTTAGGTTTATAATATAATCTTACGCTGTATAACTCATTTGGAGCTATCGCATACAAACGGCGGAAATCCTTAACGGTATAAATATTCTGTTCACCCAAACGCGTCGCCGAAACGCCATCTTTCGCGATTTTCTCTAGTCTCCAAACCTCGTCACTGGGATAAGGAGGATGGTGCTTCCTATACGCTGCATAACCAAAAAAAGAAAGAAAAAAAACGATTAATATAAATAACCCTAAACGCATTAACCGCGACTGAAACTTCTGACGAAACGCAGTAAACGCTACTTACGTACTCCTCGTTGGTCTTTACACCCAAAAGCTTCGCTCCTCGCCTCAACGGCTCCACCTCCGGTCAGTCTAGCACCTAACCGGAACTTCCGGCTCCTCGTCCAGCTCGAGTTATCCGAGAAAGAGACGTCTCCGGCGATCACTCCGACGCCGTCTTTAAGCGTCACCGTTAGATCTCCGGTGAGTAACGGCCGTTTTCCTTCGCGTGACTTGAGAATATTACGTTTGAATCCGTCAACGTTCCAGTTTTCCTCCGTGAAGTCGGCGTTCAGCGGCACGATCTCGAGCCGAGAAGAAGCTAGAGGTCCCGAGACGACTCGAGCGTTCGTGGTGACGTCGATGAGCTCGATAGCTACTGGAGATTCGTCCTCGGTTTCGATCTTGCCACCCGTGAATATCGACGGCGGCGGCGAGTTAATGAATCGCAGCTTGTATCGTGAACGCGACGACGACGTTTCCGAACGCGGTTGCTCCATTTGGGCCCACGACGAAGAGAGGTAAGGTTGAATACGACGATCAAACTCCTCTCGAAACTAAAATATAATTAGTACTGAGATATTTAGTCACTAGTGATTATAATATTATAACATTTGCAACAACTGCATGCACACATGGTTACTTATATTATGAAATAGAAAGAAAAAAAAACATGATTTATTGAGTGAATTGAGATAAACACCATCGTTATGATTAGCTTTGTTGAGTGATCGGAATATTCGATTACTAGTACTATTTTAAACGATTTAATTTATTTATAATTTGATATACTACAAGAACTACAGTAGACTATAGGGACCATTGTTGATACGGACCACAAAATTTAACACCGGAGAGAAGAGAAGAAGTCGGTCAAAGTTGGTGGCTATGAAGTATGAAGGAACAAGTAGTTAATTTTACTAATCCCTTGATTAAGTCAATTAAGACTAATTAATTAATTAGGTGGTTTATGCAGAGTGAATTGTTTAATTGGAGACTATACGAAAACTCACAATTCTTCTGACCATGTTCTCCATCTGAACCATGAATTGGTTATTTGACCGATCTCTCATCACTTTCTTCACAGCTCTGTGGATCACATGAGAAAAAGAAACTCATAAATTTAAATCCTTGTTCGAAAATCAACCGATAGAAACGGATATGTTTTTTTGTTAGAAATTAAAACAAAAATGGAAACAAGATAGAAACGCACTTCTTGAATGTGAAGTTACTAGCTCTAAATCCAGTGTACCCACCGGCCCCATGAAAAGGGCTGTTTCGCATCTTCATTGATCACTTTTGGCTTTAGAGAAAATCTTGTTAGATTTAATATCTCAAAAGTCTTTTTGTTTTTAAAGAAACTCTTTGTGTGTGTGTGTGTGTGTGAGAAAGAGAGAGAGAGAAGAGAGCAAGCAGTGAGATGAGATTGTGAGAGAGAGTAGATGATGCGATTATATAAAGGGCTTTGAGCATTGACGAAGCAACTTCCAGGAAGATTCGTCGTTGATCTGCGTAGTTTAGTAGTGCTATTCATCAACCACGCCATAGTTAGTTATTTAGTTATATTTTGATTAATTAAAACAAATAAAAAGGCACTTGTTGTTTAGTGTCATATTCATATACTTATTTGAGATCGTTAGTATTAAATCAATTGCTGCTTGGATCATTTCCAACAAACTGAAATCAGCTTGTAATAGAAAATCCACTCAAACCGGCTAAACATGTACATGTATTTAAATCCATATACAACTGTATAACGGTTTCTTAAGAACATACCCGCATTTAGAATCCGATCGGATATAGAGTGGAGAATCTAATGATTTCAGTTTATTAATTTCCTCTTTCTGCAACCTACTAATTGCATTCAGACTATTCTCGTAAGAGGAGATTATAAGAAGGTAAGACGTGTAGATTAGTGGTTCTAGTAGTGCCTTTGCTGTGTTATTATTAGAGAAAAGTTAAATTTCATAATTTTTGTACTTGCTAGTTTATCCTTTTACAATATACTGTTTGTAGTTAAAAAAAATGATCATAAGCAATATCAGAACATAAACTTGACAACGTGTGAAAACGTCTCTAGTTATCAGAATTATACATTTTTGGTAATTTTTCCTATCGACTCTGATGTTAATTTTTAAAACTATTAAGAAAACTCTAAACATTCATTTGTATAGTTTGTGAGCCAGCATCTATGTTTGAGAATTGCATCTTAATTAAATGTTACAATCTACGCGTTTAGAATTATTACTTTAAACGCTTTTGTCCGTTTCCCAATCATTGACTAGACCTGAGAAAAACTAACTCTTTATGGTGATGCTACTAGCATGCATAATCAAACCCTACTCATGATGAGTCATGGTCTAATTTACTTCCATTTAGTTTCTAAATTCAGGCTTGGTTTAATCATGATAAAAAAAAGTCTTCCCATTTCATTTTTAACCTTTTTACAATAAGTATAGTTTTAGTTTTCTACTGCAAAAAAAAAAAAAGGAATTTATTGAGTTAAATTTAGTAACTAGAAGCAACAATCTCTTAGTCAACGGGTACTAGATCGAATAAACTTACATGCAATGAACATTCAAAATGGTTAAAACTTTAAAACAATATCTAAACTTTTTCTGTTATGGTGATGAAGATTTGGTGGCTTTGATAGTATTATAAAGGTGTGACGTGTGAGTTTATATCTAGAAATTTTGATACTTATACGAAATTTTCCCTTTCTGAAATTGTTTATATAAAAATATTTGATTGGATATTTCACCAAATTTGTTCTTCATAACATCTAAATATAGGGGAAAAATGTAAGGATAGGAATTTCAAAATCTAACCAACCAAAATAACAATCCCATTATTACCTTAATAACCTTAGGTCTTACTAGGTTAATGAAAATATATACATTTAGAACATTTGAAAATTTATAAACCAGCCAAAAGAGCCGTTGACATAAGCGTTGACAAGGCTACATCGTCAACTAAGAGCACATTGATTGACCCAACAAAACCACGCTTATGTGATGCCGTAACGCGTTTTTCAGCTATGTAAATATACGATCAGATATTATAACATTCTACATAAATATTATGTTTTCATAATTCGAAGGACGACATATGCAGATAATAATGGAACATTTTTTCTACATCGACGCGTTCTGCTGATGGACAACGTTACTTCTTCAACTTTGATGATAACAAAATAACATGACACAAATTAACGGTAGAAAACTAAAACGACATATACAATATATATATATATATGCACTTTGAATATAGGTGTATGTATTTCATGGCTATGGAGAAGAAGTATAAAGGTCGTTTTCGAGCCAATAAACAATGCAGTTTCAAAGTTTCAGAATTAATCGAAAATAAAAAACAAAATACTAAATTTATCAGAGTTATGATAGTGTTGCTCTTGTTAATGTATTGAATCATGTACTTATGATAGAATTGATCAGAGTTAAGGTATGGCGATCGGGCCTATTTTCTTTTGGCTGCATAGAAGATTTTAGTCTGTTTTTCACGTTTTTAAAACCGAGAAAATAGTGGTATAGGACCTATACCAGATTGGATATTAAGATGAATTTTAGTAAAATTAACAAAATAGAAGTACCATAATTGTGCGGATATGATCAGATTGGGTTCCACTGCACAATTGACATATCTACGGTCACATAGCCGATGATTATTAGATGGCTTTCCAAAAATTGGCGTCATCTGTATAACTTTTTTTTTTTTTTTTTTTTTTTTGGGAGAATAATTTGTTGGTTATGTATATATTCATAGAAACTTTCCTTTCAAATTCGAGGAAAACCGAGAGGAAGCTCAGAAAAGGCCGAATAGTCAAACTAAATGTTGATTGATATCTATGTTTGATCGAGATTAACAAATCACCCTTGACATGTCTGATGTCTCTTATACTTTTATTTTTATCCTTCACTTGTAATACTTAATGTGTTATGTTTTTTTTTCTTTTTTTTCTTATATAGTTTATTTTTGGGAAGAAGGGTTAAAGTTACGGGGAATTTGGTAAAAGAGAAAATATAATTTTTGAAAATAGGTAGGGAAGAAGTACGTGGTCTTTGTAACAAGGGATTGTATAACATCTTGCCATTAATATACAAGCTTGTAATATGATAAGTTATATGTGTGAATTGTGATGTAACACCAAATCTTGCAATCTACGTATTAAACATTCCATCTTACAAACACCACGATGTCTATTTATAAAACATGTGTCAACCAAACCAACACATAGCAGACTGCAGACTTAAACAAAATGAACATGTTAAGTTGTCACTTAAACTGTAGTTAGTTTACACTGTAATAAGAGATGAATGAGTTTTTTTTTTTCTTTTTCTTATTGAATCCTTTATTCATCTTTTTATTTTCTGAGCATTAATGAGTATTGAAAGTTTATTATACGATGGCCCTGATTGATTTTCGCGTTTACGTATTTCATTTGGTTATAATTTGAATGAATATGCAAACATATTAGGATAAATACAAGTGTTAGAGAATAAGGATATAGTTTATATTATGATAGAGTTCAATTCCTTGTATTTAGGAATCTAAAGTTATCTAGTGTGGAGACATACTTGTATAAATACCCAAGGTTGGGATTATGAATAAACCAAGTCAATTAAATACCTTATTCTACATGGTATCAGAGCAGTCGATTCTTAGGGATCAAAGTTAAAGCTTCCGCAAAAGAAACTGTGACAAAGATGGTTGTTGGTTGAAGACGATGGAGAAGGTGACAACGATGAAGAAGATGTTGTGTTGAAAAATCTTATACGTTCTTCTTTTATTAAATTTTTAAGTTAGGTTTTGGTTGTGTTCGTGTTCTCTATTAATATGGGGTTCATCTTTTAGGTTTTTTTGGATGAATTATTTTATATTAGATTATGGTTTCTTGGTTTTGTTTACAAGAGTTTACGTGAGTTGTGGAAAATTATTTTGGTTATGGCTTCTCACGGGTTAGTAGTTTTGGTGTAGAATTTGTGAGAGTTATTCACAATTTTTGTTGAGATTAGTTCTATGGTTTTAGATCGTGGCCGGTAATGGCGATAATGATAGTGTGTCCGGTGGTGATGTGTCGAGTTCCAGTGGTGCTCGAAGGAATGAAGTCGCAACGATGTTGCCTTATAATACATGTTGTGTTAGATAGTGGTTTTCCTGGTTTTTCTCCGGTGACTGGTGCGTCGGATGGTGGTCTCCTCCGATGAGTGGTGTATCCGGTGGTGTTGTTCCTCCGGGCGAGTTGTGCAACCGGTGGTGATGTTCTTCCGACAAGTGGTGTGTCGGGTGTTGGTGTAACGGGTGCTAGTGGTGCTCGGTAGTGAAGTTACGGTGGTGTCACCGTTGTACTCCTTGGATAATCTAGGAGCTACGATTACTCCGGTCTTGTTGAGCGGAGAGAATTACAACCAACGAGTGGTCTTCGAAGTTTATCAATGCAAAACATGCTTTGCCAATGGGTCTTTGCCAAACCGGTCTACCATGGTGACGTACATCTCAGATGCATACAACTCTGGGAAAATTCTGAAGTTGCGTTTCTTGGTAGGAAACAAAGTAAAGGTGCATCAAAATCAAGTCAAGGTGCAGCTCGTGTCTTGTCGACAAGTGGACAATATGTGTTTGAATATTATGGTCCTCTCTCCAAGTTGTGAGAGTAATTTCAGGTGTTTTGACAAAGTTTTTTTTTGGGCGTGTTCCATTCCATAAGTTAGTGTCCAAGTTGGGAGTTCTTGATCTCCACTCTCCAACTTGAGGGGGAGTATTAGGATAAATACAAGTGTTAGAGAATAAGGATATAGTTTATATTATGATAGAGTTCAATTCCTTGTATTTAGGAATCTAAAGTTATCTAGTGTGGAGACATACTTGTATAAATACCCAAGGTTGGGATTATGAATAAACCAAGTCAGTTAAATACCTTATTCTACAAAACACAAAAAGACAATCGGAAGCTATATACACGAAACGTACATTTTAATTAATGCTGAGTTCATCATTTCTTTTACTTTCCATATCAAGTTATCAACCACTTCAACAAAATAAAAAATTATTTGAATTTAAATCTAATTTTTTTATATTGTTTACTTATTCTTTAAATGTTTTTTTGTTTCTTTTGCAAAGTTCTCCTGTCCACTTGTCCACGTTGAATATTGGACTCTTCAATCGGACGTACGTGTTTTAGTAATAAATGTTTTGAAAGATACATTTGTAATTGTTAAATTATAAATTGTTGTTGAAATGTTTTTTTTTTTCTTCATGAAATGAAAGAGTCTTATAGATATACATTAGATTTTCTTGCTATCTAAAAATCAAATATTAGTGAACCAAGCATCCAGGAAGTTTCTGACTAAAATAAGACGGTAGATTCTCTTAAAAATGTTGATGATATTTTTCCTAACACATCATATCTTCTTTGTCTATATCACATCTAGCGGTAATAATCTCCCATTTCACCAAAACAAATAAGTAATCAACCATCTTATATCAAGATCTATAACAATTATTGTTGTCATTTTTAAAGGGAACAATACCATTATCACAGCAATTGCAATATTTCGAAGAGTATATAGAGAAACTGAAGGGGATGGTTGAAAAAGAAAAGACAAAGCTCATAATTGAGAATAGCTTGTTCAGTGTTGTATGTGGTAGTAAATTAGTAATGATATCACCAACAAATACTTTAGCATTCTCAAATACGACGTTGACTCTTTCACCACTCTTTTAGCCGGAAATGCTCGTTCTTTTGTCCAAGTAAGGAATGAGTTTTAATCTCTCTTATAACCGGGTCGGATTCTAGGCCAAAATCTATTTTAATCTCTGAATTAAGTTTGTGAGAAAATTTAGATACTTTTGTCACATAAGACCTCCTGAGCCACACAGACCGTATTACATTTTGATGTCTAATTTTTACAATTTGCGTTTAATTTGGTCCTCCACGTGATATTTGCAGGAAGTATATGAACGTGGAGCAAGAAGAATACTCGTGTTCGGAGTTCGGTGTACCACTTTTAGGATGTATCCCATCACAGAGAACCGTCGCAAGAGGAGTCTTTAGGGATTGTGTGGTTAGGTATAATGATGCCTCCAAAATTTATAATGACAAGCTCTCAGCAAATATTGATTTGCTGTCAAGAACTCTACCGGACAAAACTTTAATCTATGTCGACATCTATAACCCTCTTCTTGAGATCATTTTAGAACCTAAAAGCTCCGGTACGTGATATGTTTTTGGGTTTAACCGCAAAATCTTACAGCAGTTAACTTTTGCACATATTTCTCCGTCAACTTTTAATAGAAATGGATGTTTGTCGTGGATGCAACAGGATTTCAAGTGGTCAATTTAGGATGTTGTGGAACCGGATTATTAGAAGTGGCTGTGTTATGCAACAAATTTACAACAGTGTGTTCCTCAAGAATCTGACTGTGTTTTGAAATAGTTTTCATCCGACTGAAAATACCTGAACTTATAACGTTTTCAGTACTAATAGTAAGTGTAACAATTAAAATAGGAAAAACTATTCATATGCGACAATTCTTACATGAACTGATTTGATATGTCGATTTTTTCACGAATCAGTAGTACGTACGGTGTAATTAACGAGAAAGGGAGCCTGAGAACTGTACACAAACGTGTTTCTATTTTTGGACTAACTATGTAAGATAGGAAAAAAAAATGCTTAAACGGTGGTCGACTTTTGACCCAAAAAAAAAAACGGTGGTCGACAAGAGTAACAATAATGCCAAATGGCGAAAGATTTGAGTGCATTGATTATCAATTTATCATTTCTATAAGCATTAGCAACCAAAATGTAGAAAATGACTATAACTGGTAATGATGATATAGTAATGAAAAATTGAAGTACTATACACTAAGCCTAAAGCCATAATCGAATTAGAAAAAAATTAAGATAGTAGAAAGTGCCAAAGTGGAGCCCGGAAACCCATTTCGTGGTTCCCAAAATACATGGAAAATAACTATTGCGATTTGTCATATTAAGACCTCTGCACTGTTTACTATAAAGTTTTTGCCTTTTTCTATAACTGAAAAGAAGAAACGTATGCGAGTAAGCATGTATGTATGTCCATTTCTCAAAACTGCTGCAAATTTGTAGTATTGAACAGTGACACTCAATTGTATATGATTATTATTCATTCGTTTTAACATTTAATGCTAAGATCATCGACACACAAAAATACAAGATTTAAACTAGACAGATCATTTTGGATTATACGTAGAAGAATTCCATGTTTTACTGAAAGCTGTAAACAATAAATTCGACACAACAAGAAAATAAAAAAAGGATATACACATTTAATTTTAATTTTTAATTTCCATAGGTGGAGTGAAAGACTAGCAGAAAATTCAAACGCTTTTAGTTTCTCTCTCTCCTCTCATCAGTCTTCGGCTCTCTTCTCTATTCTCTCCTCTCTCTCTCGTCACATCAATCCACACTGTAGAGTATCTGTTTTTTTTTCAAGTTCTCTGCTGCTTCTTCACTCTCTATTGGTCCCTTTCTCTCTACCCAAATCTCGAATCCCAAATCTTAAATCTCAACCTCACTTCGTCTTCTCTGATTTTAGCATTTCCTGATCTGACCCACTTTTCAAGAATCTCTCCTTCTTCTGATTTCCTTGGTGTTTTCACTTTCATTGATATCTTCAATCCTCAATTGCTGTGGGTTTTGAGGAACACAAGAACCCCCTTATTGAGAGAAACTGTTTCTATTCTAGGGTTAGATCTTCTGGGAAATCACAAGTTTTGTTCTTTACCACCTAGGTTTTTGCTCGATTTTGCGCCTTAAACGTCCGTAGCAATTTCTGGGTTTTTGTTCCATTGGCTACATTTTACTGTTAACGTCTCGAAATCTTCGAATTCGGATAATTCCCTCAAGGATTCCTGGAATGAGCCCATTAGTGAGTGAAAGCTGAGGTCTTTGGCATCCGAAGCTCACCGATAGGTAAAATTGGTTGACGCCCGATCTAATTTCTTATAATTTTCTAATCAAATTCAAGTTTTTTTGTTTGTTTACATTATTTTGAGTTGTCTTGTCTTCACAGCTACGTTCTATATTATCCTGTGGTGTCCACTTCTGAGTTTGGACACCACATGATTATCGAGGTCTATACAATTGGAATTAAGATCCCATTTTTTGTTTATTTGGTAAGTTACATTCCAGGAAACTTATTCGGTGATTGTTATCTGTAGATGAAATAAATAGAAAGATGGAGGTTGTTGAGAGGAAACGATCCAGAGGAGGGTTTCTAAATCTGTTTGATTGGCCTGGAAAGTCCCGGAAGAAGCTCTTCTCATCCAGCAGCTCGGAATTCTCAGGTGTGTCTCCACTATATAGCCTTTAACAAATAGTTAGAAATGTTTGGTTTAATTCTTGTGAACTCTATTTGGCATGTAGAAGAAAGTCTAGTCCAAGATAATGTACTTCTTGTTTGAAGGATTTGATTATGGTTGAAGACAATGCTGTTCTTGTTTTCAAGATTTCTGTTTATATAGCTCGTTTTGGTATTTCCATTAATGTATACAAGAATCATAAGTTCGATCTTCTTCTTCTTCTTCTCTTTGTACCAGAAGAACCAAAGCAGACAAAACAGAATACTCAAAACCACCAGAAGTCCAGGCTTTCTCCAGTGAGTTTTATCAGCACTAGTCCCTTGTTTATGTCAAGTGGCTTTCGTCTTCTTTAGTTAAGTGGATATTTGTTTTTGATGTGATATTTTTTACAGTTTGAGGCTGATGAGATTGGGAATAATTCGAGTTACAATCCGAGAAGTGAATCCAGCTGTTGTGCATCTTCTGTAACCAGTGATGATGGGCAGGGGACGAGAGCCCCAAGTGTGGTCGCGAGGCTCATGGGTTTAGAGTCTCTACCGGTACCAAACGTCCAGGAGCCTCGGTTTAATCCCGATCTTGATCCATTCTTCCTCAGATCTTCACGGAACACAAGCAAATGGAATGCATATGAGAATCTTGGCTATGTAAATCTCCGTAGTGACTATGATGGAATTTCCTGGGAACATTTGGAATCAAGAACGAACGAGGGGCGCAACAGACCGATTGAGCGGTTTCAGTCTGAAACGTTTCCTCCGAGGTCGGCTAAACCGATCAGTGTTACCAACAACAGACTCTTGTCTCCTATCCGGAGTCCTGGGTTTGTCCCATCCAGGAACCCTATTTATGTAATGGAAGCGGCTTCAAGAATGATTGAACCAAGTCCTAGGATTGTTGCTAGAACAAGGTTCTCTCAATCTGATTCTCCTTCATCAGTTCCTATGAGGATTCGAGATTTAAGAGAGAAACTAGAAGCTGCACAGAAAGTGTCAAGCCGTCAAATCTCCAATGAGACCTACCCAAGTAGAAAGCAGAACGAGAAGAGAACCTCAACATCAGTCACGGCACCGTCCACTAGCAAGCTCATTGGAAAAAGGAGTTCTGATGGTTTGAAGAGTAAAGTGAAGCCACCTTATGTATCTGCACAAGCAAAGGCCAGCACAACGCCCTTAAGTGTCAATAGAAACAACTCTGCAAGCCAAAAGGAGAAAGCAGATGCTAAAAAGTCCATAGTCAAAAGCCAGAATGGTCTGAGAGGACCTTTTATTAGCACGGGAAAGAAGCAGAACTGCAGAGACAACCAACCTGTAATGACCTCTGTTTCAAACCACAAGAGCAGCAAAGTTATTAACAAAGTTGTAAACAAGGTTCCAGTGGAAAGTGGATTGCTATCAAAGCAGTTGGGTTTAACAACGGCGTCAGGGGGAAAGAATACTTCATTATCATTGTCCCGCAAGAAGACTCTTCCCCGGAGCAAAAAGCCCCAAAATGGGATGCAAGAATCTGGAATCTCCGATGATAAACGGATCAAAAGGGGTGAAAATTTGATCAAATGTAACATTACCATTGATGGTGGCTTGAACTCAAAGAAAGATGATCGGAAAAAGGAAATGGATGTGATTTCATTCACGTTCTCTTCCCCCATCAAAGGTTTATCATTTGATTCACTATCCTCAACTCGAGGAATTGATCAAGACACAGACTCTACAGTTAGTTTCAATATGATTGGCGGCGATTCTTTAAATGTTCTGTTGGAGAAAAAGCTCAGGGAGCTGACTTCTAAGCTTGAGTCTTCTAGCTGTAGCCTGACCCAAGAAGAGTCTTCACGTTTCAGCGCAAAGGATGGGGTGAATGGGATGATCTCATCTTCATCAGAGTACGAAAAGTCGACCCAAAACCGTCTGGATAAAGTTTTATCAGAGAGTGACTCTGTTTCTGACTGCACTTCCTTCTATTACAAACAAAAATTCCAGGTGAGTTATTTCCTAATGCAACTAAGAGATGAAGTTGATACAGTTTCTTATTTGTCATATTGAAGCAATCCTTAGTTTTGGTGTCTTGGCACTGTTTCTATATGTAAACATCTTTACATTACTTAAGGCTCTCTAACTAATTATGTCTTCGTTTCTTTTGAAAAAATAAAGATGATACAGGCAGAAGAGCACGAAGTCAGCAGCATTAGTACTGTGACAGAAGCAGATGATCTTAGAAGCTCCTGCAGCAAGGGTTTCTCAGATTGCAGACAAACCGCAGAATATGGTTCGTTTTCTCAAATACTTCATAAAAAAGTCTTACTGTTCTTTATTCCACGTTTTTTCGTCCCATGAATATTCCACCGAAAAATCCATATCATCATTGCATATTATGAAGTCCACATTCGTCCTGCAAAACTTGAATCTCTAAGAAATATTTGCACTCAGTAGGATCTAGGCATTAGATCTAATGGCTTAAAAGGAAGCTTGATTGCAGCTAATTTGCACGCTTTGGTTTTTACAGGGATTAAACAGTCCTCATCAGATCAAGAATTCCCCTGGGTTTTATCAAATGAGTCGCACCAAGCACAAGACGAGTCCGAGCTCTCGGAATCTGTGATAACACTGACTTACTCAGAAGCCGAAGAAAGGCTTGACTGGGAGCTTGAGTACATATCTGAGATCCTCAGTTCTGACCAACTGATGGTGAAAGAATTCGCTTTGGGAATGGCGACTGACATACTACCTGCAAGCCTCTTTGATGAATTGGAAGGCCGGGGAGAAGCAACAGCAGCCAAACTCAAGAGAAAGACACTGTTTGATTTTGTCAATCAGAGCTTAGGGGTCAAATGCGAGCAGATGTTTATGGGAAGCTGCAGAGGGCTATCGGCGAAAAGCGGGATTTTTGAACAGAGGGATTGGTTAGCAGAAGAACTGAACAGAGAGATTCATGGGTTGAAGAAGATGAGAGAGATGATGATGGACGAGCTTGTTGACAACTACATGAGCAGTTCCGAAGGGAGATGGCTTGATTTCGAAAGAGAGACGTATGAAGAAGGCATTGACATTGAGGGAGAAATAGTCTCTACGTTGGTTGATGATTTAGTTAATGATCTTGTCTCGGTGTGTTCAAAGGGATAGTTTCTGCTTTGGTTGAGTTTGATAGTCTCTCGGCACTCTATAAGCTTCTTCTGATAGTTTCTCTGGAAGTGACAGTAGCCAATATTGAGGAGCATTCTCTCACAATGTAATGTAATTCAGGAGCATACCTTCTTTTATTTTTTCTCTAGTTTTTTTTTCTTTCCACATGTTTAACCTTTTTTATCAAATGAAATGCAAATAATATGATAATTCTGCCTTCGTACTTCTGTTGTATTTCTAAATTTTTTCTTGCTTCCTCCCAAAAGAGGATTTGAGCCTGAGCAACAAAACGAGGAGACGATTCTATCTAGGCTTGACAAGTGTAAGATATAAGCTTGTATGTTGATGAAACAACAAGTAGAAAGTGAAACAATTTTATTGTGATGTATCATGGTCTGGCTTTGGTTATATACCAAAAAAATCCAACCACATAAATAAACTATCCTAATCATAAGAAAATTGTGACAGAGTAACTTCCTTCTTGAAGGAAATCAAAGCAAAGAAAGAATGAAGAATGGTCTTGTTGTTTTAGATGGAGATAACAACAGGGTAAGAAGGTCAACGTGACTTGTCTGTTCTCTCAGTCTTGTTGAAAGGCAAGCTCGAAGATCTTCTCATAGTCATCCACAAAGTGGACATCAAGCCCTTCTTTCACATTCTCGGCCAGCTCATCAAAGTCTCTCCGGTTTGCCTCTGGAAATATTATCGTTTTCACCTGACTACGCCTCGCCGCTATAGTTTTTTCCTTCACCTGATATATATTTGTGTAAGAAACTTGCAGAAAATTCTGTAAAATGTCAAAAAAGCTTAATAAAGTGAGAGAAGTCCGGAGTTTGTAACCTACCCCTCCAATAGGAAGAATTCTACCAGTTAAAGTGACTTCTCCGGTCATTGCAAGATCCTTTTTAACAGGCTTCTTCGTGGCAAGTGAGAGCAGTGATGTGATCATGGTGCAGCCTGCGCTTGGACCGTCCTTGGGTGTGGCTCCTGCAGGAACATGGAGATGAAGCTTGGCGTTTGCAAAGAACTGATTCTCCGGTTCTTTCTCTAGCATGATCTTTCTGGCGACTGTGTGAGCGATTTGTGCGCTTTCTTTCATCACATCCCCGAGCTGACCGGTCATAGTCAGGCCTCCTTTACCTTCCCCTTCCTCCACAACAGTTGTCTCTATGTACAATGTTGAACCACCCATTGATGTCCAAGCTAGACCCATGACAACTCCTACTGGTGTGGGCTCATAGATCTTTTCCGCATGGAAAACAGGTTTGCCTACATAATCTGCAAGGTTTGATTCATCAATCATAACCTTTTCAATCGCTATTTGAGCCTGTTCCTTTGATTCTTCAGCAGATGCCACAGGGTTTTCTTCGACAACTTGGGTCTCTGGGGATTCTACGTCGAGCTTGCTCACAATTTCAGCTTCTTCTGTATCATTTGCAACTGCTGGCACTTCGGGGACTGCTCCTTCACGCACTAACTTAAGAGCAATCTACAAAAGAAAAGTAAATAATGTTAAGGTTTTGAGGGATTGAGTAAACGATTCAAGGTTGTGTAGCAAAACTCACCTTGCGGTAAATCTTCTCGATCTGTTTCTGGAGATTCCTAACACCTGCTTCTCTGCAGTAATTTTCTATCAAGGAAAGAAGAGCTGCATCACTCACCTCAACCTGTAAACAGTACAAGCAAATTGAGAAAAGTCCAGAAAAAAGTATGTGATTCCATGAAATTACGCAAACTCTTTTCATTCTCCCCAAAGTAAGACCAGAGACAATCAGAGAATAGGATGAAAGTGAGACCTGTTCAGGCTTGATGCCACAATCTCCACGTGCGGTTTTCTCCAAATAATCTCTTGCGATATGAACTTTCTCATCAGTGATATACCCAGCAATAGTAATCACCTCCATTCTGTCTAGTAGAGGATTCGGAATCATGTCTATCACATTTGCTGTGCACACAAATAAAACCTTTGATAGGTCAATGGTAACGTCAAGATAGTGGTCCAGAAAGTTTGCATTTTGCTCTGGATCTAGGAGCTCCAACAAAGCACTGGCTGGATCACCAGCATGGCCTCTCCCGAGCTGCCAAGGACAAATAAAAAGGTTTATTGCAGAGAAATTTCACTTCGGTAACTAGAGGTCGTGCAGTTTTGTATTTAAGAATAAAAGAAGCTAAGACATGACGACTACAAACGTCAAGAAGCTAACCCAATACCATATTACCTTATCAATCTCATCGATTAGAACAAGAGGATTTGCTGTCCCCACACTCTTTAGACACTGCACCATCTTTCCTGGCATGGCGCCAACATATGTTCGACGATGCCCCTAAACAGGATATTACGAGAATGGTTTATTATTTCTAGGAAAAAATTCAGTCATAAATGTTTGACAAATACATTCAACTTTCAAATAAAAAAAAGTGTGATACCTTGATCTCAGCGACATCTGCTAACCCTCCAACAGAGAACCGGAAAAACTTGCGATTAAGAGCTCGTGCAATGGAACGACCAATACTAGTTTTGCCTACTCCAGGAGGCCCCGAGAGGCAGATGATTTTCCCTGGTGAGACAATTACTCAAAGTCAGTAGAGGAGCTTATAAACCAGGACAGACTCTATTTCATCGAATCAGAAAGTGGCCACAACTACTGTGTAAGTATCAAACCTTGTGAAGTGCCTCTAAGCCTTCCGACCGCAATAAACTCTAGTATTCTTTCCTTAACGTCAGATAAGCCATAGTGATCCTCGTCCAGAATTTTTTGTGCCCTCACAACATCAAAATTTTCATCACTGCAAATATAATAAAATAGATTTCTCGATCAGTGAACACAAAGTAAGTATAAACATGTAAGCTTTGCTTAAATAGATAAATACCTGTAATTTCCCCAAGGCAATATGGTCAACCAATCAAGGTAGTTACGGGTCACGTTAAACTCGCTTGAACTCGCTTCTAACAGCTGCAGTTTTGTTAGCTCTTCTTCTATGACTTGTAATACATGCGCTGGAATTTTCTCCTTGTTAGGGTCAATCCTTTCCTTAAACTTCCCTGCAGTAAAGAACATTATATAAGTTGCACTTGACTTACAGTTAACAGTGCACGGATGTCCAAACTTATACGAAAGGCTGACGCCTCATGAATGCATGGTGATCCATGAGGCAGTGAAAATTATAAAATCTCTAACGAGGATATAAAATGACTACATAGAATTAAAGATGCTCTTATTTAGTACTGACCAGAGAGTGCAGATTTGTCATCTGTCTCCACACCAAGTTCCTGCATTGGATCACTTAAATGAATCAACATAATATGCTATCATCAAGCATGATGTGTGAAGCCTTGAGCTGAAACTTACCTTTTTTATAGCCTTGAGCTGCTCATTTAGCAAGTAACGGCGTTGCTCGCCGCTAATTTTTTCTTCAATTGCTTTTGCTATGGTTTCCTATAGAAGGCTCAAAAGATAAGATTTTGAATGTCATCTCATTCAAACAGTGGACAGATGTGTAGCCCCTTAGTTGTAATGACATAGGAAAGTAAGGAAACGAAGTACCTGAATCCTGCTAATTTCCATTTCTTTTTTCATCAATTCCAGTGTCAACCGCAGACGTTTGTGAATCTGGGTCGAAAAAAACGGGGTTGAGAGATTGACCAAGCATGGACTAACATACAATCACAGTAATAATGAAACTACTTACATCCAGTTCTTCAAGAACTTCTTGCCCTTGATGCCTATTTGCACCACATATCGCCGCTCCAAAATCGGCTAATCGTGGATACGTGAAATCACCTATATGCTACACAAGTTTGAAAGGAATCTATTAACATAAACGTCTCCTGAGACTATTTAACCTGAATAAGTGGAAATTATGAAGATAACATGCCTGGGTATATGTTTGAACGTGATCTCTCCATAATGAACTTGTCTTTAGGACATCCCTAAGTGTTGAAATAACTTCAAAGGATGTTGCCTTGATGACATCATCATCCATGTCAAACGGCTTATCCTGCACAGGCACGAAAAAGGTTCCTAACTTCAGAATTTCAGAATAAAAATAAAAAGGTATCCAATAGAAGGAAAAGCATAGAAACAGAAATGTACCTTAATATGATCCACTTTGACGGTAAGTGGTTCTTCACTCACCTGTATTGAGGACATAAAAGAAAAGTGACTTGATAAACCAAACCAAATAACATGTGGAGGTGTAATCGCCAAGCTTTTGAACTATCCAAATCTTTCGAAACAGAAAATTTTAGAAACTATGAACCCTGTTAGTCTACTGACTTACCATCTCTGTAATGCGAAGTCGCCTGTGCCCAACGAGGATAACTTGGTCCCCTTGGATACTTGAAATCTGAAAAATCATCAAGGAAATCGAAATGTTAGTCATGTCTTTTGACTTGATCACACATACACCAAAGAGACTCTAAAAAGCAGTAGCAGCAACACGGTACCTGAGCAAGTGTTCCAACTTCATGAAGCCGGTCAAGCAATTTTTTCCCTTTCAGCTCACTTATGTTTTTCTCTACGTCAGTGGTTGAAGATGAATCAGTTGACGGGTCATCCTTCAGAAGGAAAGCTCCTGCATATGGAGCTTGTCGTCTTCTGCTCTCTTGCAAGGCTGCAAGTACTTTAGGATCCTGCTCAGAGGAAAAACCACATAGTTAGAGACACAAAGGATCATGTTACGCTATGGTTGGACATAAGCAGTTTTAGCTAATTTTTCCAAATTCATCAAACGACCCATGCAGGAGAGATTACAACACAAGGTAAATTCAATGTGAATTTTGAGGGCTAAACAAGGACAAGTAATTTTGGAGAATATTGGAAGGCCAGAACAGAATGAATTGACATACCTTGACATAGATTGGCATGTAAAACCCAGGAAAAAGAGGCCTATGCGGCACTGGCAATGCTAGAACCTGCAATTAAACAACGGAAAGATCCATCCAGAGAAATGTAAGTCCGTTGAAATAGCAATGATTCAAATGTACAATGCTCACAAAAGACAATGGTTTTGCTTTACTGCTAACTAAAAACCACCAAATCCAGCTATCAAAAATGCTATAAGAAATACAAAAACCACCATGAAAGAGCATATGAGTGCACACCAGACAACATAATCTTAGCTTCGAACAAAGATCAAAACCATCTCATAAGCTAAATCATGCACTCTAGTCATTACAAACACACTGAATATAACTAGAGTTTACAACTTTATAATCATTCTAACAAGAATGAATTTTGCCCCATTGAATTGCCCAACGAGCCAATAAAGCATATACAAATGCACCAAACAAAATTAATAGACTTTCTAAAACCTTATGACTTGTGCATTTCCCAGGGAACGAAAAGAAACAAAAATTGAGCTCGGATATTAATACAATTGAACTTACCGTTAAACAATCTTCGGGTCTAGGGTTCGTAGGCACAATCGCCGATGAAGATTTCGAGTCAGCCCCTTCGGAATCGGACTCTGCTGCCTTGGCCTCGGCCTCAGCCGCCGCCTCTGCGTCGGGCGCGCCATCGGTGGGCTCGGAGCAGAAGAAAACACGTTGACCCAACGAGGTAGATCGCCGATTCAACCCAGTGAGCTGACTAAGCGCTTTGAACAACGGAGACTCCACTGAGCGAGACCCGGCCCGAATCGCCGGAGTCAAATGGTGGGCTCGGGAAGCGGTGGAAGAGAAGAGCTTCAACATAGTGTGAGAGGAAGATCTGGGATAACAATTTCTGAAATTGAGGTTAATTACGCCTTGCCTTTTAGGCAAGAAACCATTGGAGAACTCTAGAGGAGGTGAAGAAGAAGCCTGTAGACGAAGATTAGTATCAAAGCCCTTCATAAACCCCGACGAAGCAAAACCCCAAATTTAAAGGAGAAACGAAACACACATTTGCCTCACGGTAAACGACGTCGTTTTTATATCGTCTCATTGGATTCTCCGGTTATCGGTTAACCAACAAAATCCTTACCGGTCCGGCACTATTAGCTTTGATCGCCGACTCATTCACCGGAATTAGATATGGAATTTAAAGTGGTGATTTTGTTTTATGATTTCGGATTGAAGAGACTTTGACACAAGAAAGCAAATGGTTCTCTACTAATCATAACAACAACAACATCAACATAGATTGTTGTCCTAACGAAACAAGCACTACTAGTCTACTACTGATTCTAGATCATTACAAGCTGAGACTGTCTTTAAAGAGAGAAGAGGAAGCATTCGTGCTTTGGCCTAAGATAGTTAGCTCTACAAACCCAGTAACAACATTAAGATTACACACACAGACAATACTGCCTTTTTCTACAGAGGCTTTTAATATCATAAAGTTAGTTGAATCATCATCATCTTCCAGCTCCTGCTGCTTTGAGGAAATTGTCAAAGGGACTAGCTGGAGGTAGCCTCATCATGGACCACGAATCCTGCATCGCACCAGATTCTCTCCCATCTTCTACTACCTGTAAGAATCAACGTGTAAGCCCTCATATTGATAAAAGTTTCAAACTTTTTTTCTTGACCAACCCTTACAGTATCATAAAGTTAAGACCTTTCTTACTATTATTGAGGACAAGAGCGGATTAAATGTAGCAAGACTGAAGTAGGTTTTGGAATACAGAAGTAACATTTGACCGCAAAATCTTTAGTTACTGCTACGTACCTTCTCAAGTGCAGATGATTCCTCAAGTGAATCTCTGTAGAGCCCATTGACTTGGCGGTTCTCGGTGGCCAACCACCTTGAGAGCTTCTGTCTGGTCCCAGTCCCAAAGGTTTCACAGCGGTTTGTCATTGTGTCGTAAGGAAGAGGAGAAGTAGAGACAGATGACACAACCACTTGACCAGCCACCTCAAGCGCCTATAGAACAACAAATCACAAACCAAATCATAAGAAGAAGGCACAAATCTACATCAAACCAGTTTCTTGTTTATGTGGAATGTGGTCTGCGCTTACAGATTCCATAAGCTGGCCAATGCTGATCACTTGAGGAACAGATGGTGAAGGAGACCCTCTTGGGTGAAAACGTACAGAGAGTTCGCTTGTTACCTCGTCCTCAGCCATCGAACCTGCAGGTATGTCCTATGATAGAAGAAACACAAGTGTATACAATCTTAAATTAATATCAAACTCAACAAACGAAAAACTCAAATTTGGGTCTTGAGAGAATAGTTTACCTCATCGAAGGACAGCGATTCCTTAGAGATACTTTGGTTTGGCTCATGCTCAACGACTGGCCGTGATCCAAACATAAAAGCATCATCAGGTGTGAATGGTTCAGATAACTGTATCCGTACATCAGCTTCCTCCAGCTGAACAAGAGAATGTGTAGAGTTGGATCAGCACATTGATCATTTGAATTTTGGACAGTTACAAATAAAATAAAAAGCTTTTACCTTTGAAATCTTAGATAGATTTTTGGCCACAATATCGGTAATGATAGTGTTGGACAGTTCTACTTTGCTTCGGATCTCAAACAGCATCAAAGTAGCCATCTGGCTATCGCCTGAGGACCCAAAGTCTTTCATATTTGCTTCTGGTCTTACGTGAAGTTGTAAGTCATCGCCAATGAACAGATAAGGATCTACCTGAAAATGTTGAGCAGAAAAACAAGTTATACACACTCTCCATGGAAAAGAGTAATAAGTGAAATAACACACTGAGAACTCACATCGCCAGGAAGTTGGGCCTTCAACATTTCGAAAATATGAGGGATTTGATATATCTTGGCAGCAAACATCAGCGTACTTGTGGAAAAAGCAAGGAGCAACCGCTTGCAAACCGTAGGTAATGTGCCTGGCAATGATGAAAGTTTGAGTACACATAAGCAATTTTTCAAAAACTTTGATCAGTTTAAGAGAGTATCATCAATTAATCAGTACCGTTGTTAAGGTCCAAAGAAAGATTCCTCAGTGAGAATAGAAGCTGGAAGGCTCGAACAACAAGCCCGTCATCAGGATTCTGCAATCAAAATGATCATGAGAGGCTTAAGTAAAGACGTTTTCCTCCATGAAAGCGAAACATTAAGAGAGGCAGAGAAGAGGAGAGGTTTTTATACTGACCTTCAGTCGCAAAGAAAGAAGCACCAAACTGAAAGAATGAGCAATAGCTTCAATGTTTGAAGGTAAAATATCAGGAAGAGCCGATTGTGTCCAAAATGCAGATAACAGTTGCCCAATTTGATCTTCGGTGAACTTCATCATTGATGGTAACTGCATCCACCAGACGATTTGCATAAACATGTGATGATGTGGTCCATTAGCACATAACATCCAAAATGTAAGCAAAAGAAAAATCTTTACCATATCAGCTAGATTGACAAATCCAGCATTCCTATCAATGATGGAATTCAACTTGTGAAAGTTTGGGGAAGATTTGTAGTTCTTAAGCTCCTCGTGAGTATTGTTATAACCGTTCTTCTCAACCTTGACGCCATCCTTCTCCTTTCTGAGCTTGTCTAATCGAGCGGCGATAGATGTGAACGCAGAGGTTGTATCACTCTTCCAGTTCCTGGATTCACTGAGATAACCAGAAGCTCTCACTGATGCAAGTCCAGCCTGAGACTGACCAGAACTTGGCAAGAGAATCACAGAGAATATCTCATGCGCTCCTACACGAGTTTCCACATTTGGATGCAGCATTGCTTTAAGAAGCGCATCAAGAAGTGCGTCCGGGAAAACCTGTATGAACAAGAAAAGGGTTACATAAACAGTAAAGGTAATGGTTGAAGGGGAAACACAAAGAAGCGCATCAAGAAGTGTTTCACCTGTTGTGAACGCATAGATGGTGATAATACTGAAGACATTGCATGAGCGAGTATCAACAGTGATCCAACCGCTGCACGTGAAACAACTCCTGAAGAAGGAAGCCCTTCAACTGAAACAGCCATCATATCGAACAATGGCTGTGTATTTCCAATTCCTTTGGCTATCTCTCGCAGACAATCTTCGATAGAGTTTTGAAGCATTACGTTTAAGTTAAGTTCATCTTCTCCAATTGATCTAGCTGTAGCCTGAAAGCTTTTCCTCAGATGCCGACACAGGTCGTTAACAAAACTTATGTCTCTAAGATACGAGTTGGTCCTGATCAGCTTCGCTAGACAACCAGCAACTTGTACGATATAAGCCTTGAGCTCAGGGTCATTGGCAACATGCTTATTGTCAAGATGGCGTACAACAGTTGATAACACCAACTGCTGACTCCCTGATACATAAAGAAACATAGCTATGAGTACACATACATGTCTAGACAAAAACCTATGTTCTAACAAAAGAACAAGAGACGAAGAAAATACCAGAGGTTTCCATCAAGTATGTTGCATCAGACAGAACTATCATGGCTAGCCCGTTTGGGGGAGTCCATTGGCGTCTAGAGTTAAAATAGCTGAACATAGGATCCAAGATTTGCCGCAGAGTTGTGCTTTCTTTAGCCAGATCAACCATCCTCTGGAGACAAATCTGTGCCCAAACTTTTGGCATCTCAGTCTCTTCTCTACAACAACAAACTCATTAGTCAGTTCAAAGAGAAAGAGGGACCTCACAAACAGGGAAACCAAATAAAAGAAATCACAGCAAAGATTAGAGGATTGAATTGGTTACTTAGTCAATAGAGTAGGATCTTTTCTTGCTGTTCTTGGTCTGACAATCATGTAGCTAGGACTGTTACAACCGCTGACTGCTGTTCCTCGGCCTTCACATCTGATCACTTCATTTACCCAGTTACAGTTTTGCTCTTCTCTGTCTTCATTGGTCTGAACGATCATGTCTGCCTCGTAATTATCAAGAATGGCATGTACGATCTCACCAACAGAAGCAAAGATGTGCGAAAACTCTCCCATAAACCACACCTGATGAAGCAAACATAAGAAACACTGATCAAAACCAGACAGAAACTTTTTGGAGAGTGAGATTGACTGAATTTGGAAGATTAAGTAACTAGTTTTAGTACCATAGCTGAAAGGCATTGCAGGCCAGATGCTCTCAGACACCGCTTTTGATGGTCTTGACCTTCTTCACGAGCCAATGAGCAAACTTTATGTGCAAATTTCTCAATGCTGTGTGTGTAAGTTCCATCAACCTGTTCAAACCAAATCAAGAGTGTGATATTTCACATTTTCGACATTGACTAGCTTATGTGTAGAAGCAAACATACTAGAGAAATAAACTTTCTAACCCAAACTTCTTCCTCCTGACCTCTTCAATAACATTTTACCTGACTGTAAATGAACCTCGTCAATGTTTGGCATCCAAGAATAGTCGGTGTGTCCTGCTTTGAATTGTCAAGTAGCTCTGTAACCACATTCAGCAAGCTTGTAGCGAAATAAGCCCTTCAATAAGAGAAAAAACATCGTAACTGTTAGTGAAACGTTAAGAATAATGCTGCAATAGATGTTGCTATGACTTTGCATTGCTAGTTTTGCTTTCTTGAAACTGCCGGAAAAATAGAAAGCTTACATCTGATCCTGGCAATGGCAAAGCATTTTGTTGTAAGCCTCAGTGACAATATTGATGAACTTCATCTGCTCAGATCGAAGGTCCTTGTAACACCTCTCTTCAAGATACGTAGCAATCTGTGACAGCCCACAAAACACAAAATTAAGCTTATGCATGCACAAGACTCCTCCTCAGTCCTCACCAACTAAGTAGAAAGATCCAAAAGAAAACACAGTACCTTGGGGATACGGATTGGGTTTTTTGCAGCATACTCACACAATTTGACAATCTTTCTCTCGTTTGGTGCACCCTCCTACAGAAAAAAAATCATTTTAAGTTGAAAATATACCCAAGCACGTTTTCAAATTCACAAGCAAAAGATTACACCAACCAAGTTACAGGTGAAAAATGGAAACTTTAACAAATTAGCTTCAAGGAGAGACACTTACAGGGGATTTTGGGAAGATCTCACCAAGCAGTTTCTTGTAACGCTTGACGGGCTGTCGAGATCTGGACCTGAGAGCAGGACAGCAAACGCACATACTCTCGCACGCTGGAAAAACATTCCTCGAGATGAACCCCATTTCTTTCTGCAAACACTTAGATGAAGAAAGTGGTGTTAAGAGTGGACAAAAGCTTCAATCTTTTTGAAAACCCATAGAGGACACAAAGTTGCTAAACCAAGGCAAACAAAGGACAAGTACAGTAGTGTGGTAAGGAAATCAAAAAGATCAAACTTTAAGCCGGAAAATTAGAAACCAGACCTCATTAACGAAACCCACACACTTAGAATTCAAAATTCAAAACTTTAAGAGAGAAGATAAGAGAATGTCAAAGTTCAAACATCAGAACCTAACAAAGAAGAGGGTAAACAAAACTGGGTATGAATCAAGGCGTATGGAGATGGAGGAACAAGATCAAACACAAATGTCCATAACTGAATTTAAAAAAAACAAACCCTAACCAAAATTCAGCTTAATTTTCCAAGGTAATAGAGTGAACAGAAGAACAAAATCTGGAGAAATCACGAAAGAGAGACGAAAGATAAGAGATCTGAAGAGCCGTACCGAGCTCCCGGGGACGGATCTGGAGAGAAAGGCCAAGTGAAACTTGAAACTGGTTTGAAACAGAACAGATTTGATTAATCTAGAGAGACAGAAAGTGGGGGAAAAGGCGCGTGGATTTGGATACAAACTGAAATTAGAGAGAGAGTGGAGCACACAGAGAGAGATAGAGAGAGAAGCACGTGAGATGTCACAGATTTTAATGTGTGTTTTCTTTTTCTAGTCTTGTAAGAAAAGCAGAAGCTAGGGTCCTGCTTGTGTCAGAAGCTCCATCGATTAAATCCTCACACACACACAATTTTCGGTTCTTCCCAACCAACAAATTCGAACAATTTTGGGTTTTTTAAATTTTGTACCGCACTTCTTTAATTCTCGCAGAATCGCCAAATAATTGTGTTCGTATAAAAAGGCCCCTCACGCGCTAGGTCAAGTAAACATTCGTATATATATATAATTATATACGATACGATGTTTATACGGCGTATTTTTATACTGCCCTATAATCGTCCTTTTATTCAAAGCTCTGCATCAATTATTTAATTAATCATTAATCATTAAATATCTAGAACAAACAAACGGTTAGATATAAATAAATGGAAATTAGACATTAGCTCTATGATTTAATTAATTACAATTTCACAACCAAAAAAAATGCCCAACGGCTATAATACTCGATAACTAGGTTAATATGAGAAAATGGAAAATAACGGATCCTTCGACGAAGCACACACTTGCACTCTAAAGAAAAAGGAAACTCATAAACTTCTAGAACCCGAACCAAAAAAGGAAATTAAACCTTGAGATCATGGACCAAAAAAGGAAATTAAACGTCGAGAACACCTGAACCATAAAGTATATATAAGCAACCCTCGACCATTCATTGTGTTCACTATTCATTCTTCACTCTAATCACAATTCTCTTTCTTTGACCCAAAGCGTTTCTCTTCTCTTCCGATCCGAAACCCTAGAAGCTTTTTCTTTGCGTAAACAATGGAGAAATCCAAATTGTCTGTGAGAAACCCGACCCGTTTCAAGAAATCGTCCGTCTCTTCCACGATTCCCGCTGCCAAAAAGAACCCCAACTTGTCTTGAGAGAACAGACTCTCCTCAAGAAAGCGTACGAGCTTTCTACTCTATGCGACGTCCAAGTCTGCGTACTCTATTACAGTCGTGACGGAGAGCTCATCAAGACGTGGCCGGAGGATCAATCAAAAGTTAGAGACATGGCGGAGAGATTTAGCAGACTAAGCGAGGTATAAAAAAGAAAGAAAAACATCAATCTTTCTCTGTTCCTAAACAAGAAGATGAACGACGACAGGAAGAAGTCTCTCGAGAAAAACGACAACAAATTCTCGCAGAAAATCTCGGAGATGGAGGATTCCTTGGTCAAACGTCTACAGATGTTTCAAGACAAGCTTCGGCTTCTTCGACTAAACCCTCATGATCATCAGACCGAGATGTGTGCGGTTTCAACGGATCATCATCTATCTCCTTCGCTAATTGTCGATCCTCAGACAGAGCCTTCAACGAATCATCTGATTGCACAGAGTCGCGATGCTTCTTCAAGTTGTTTATCGACCGTGAATTATCCGAGCCGTGATGTTTACTCAACTGATTTATCGGCGTTGAATTGTCCGAGCAACTGCTCGATTCTTCTCTATAACCACGACAACGCTACTTACACTCAATTGTCTTCGGCCTTTGATCAGAGAAGCTGCAACAACTTTCAGATGCAGACTCAATTGTCTTCCGCCTTTGATCAGAGAAGCTGCAACAACTTTCAGATGCAGACACAAAACCCACTTCTTAACTCTGATCAGTTTGCAACATGGAATCAGATTCAGACACCATCTTTTGGAGAGCAGTTTATGTACCCTTCTCCTTCTTGCTGTTAGGTGTCTTGCTCGCTTAAAGACGAGATTTTTCATCACTAGGTCAACATTTTATTATATATCTTGTATTTGCTCTTTGTTATTGTCGAGCCTGTAATTTGTAATTTGTTAGAGAATCAAAACATTCTTGCCTCTTTTTATTTTTCTTGTCTTTCTTTAATCGGAGTTTAAGTTGTACACAACAATCATCAGATAATGGGAATAAAGTAAAACCGGGAAAAGAAATCACAAGTTAAGAAGCTTTAATATGGTTTGATGATAAAGATAAGTAAAACACTTCAATCTTGTCCTACTCTTGTAATTTGTAAAAAAAAGAAAAGAAAACAAAGTAACAGTATGTATCAGAAGAACAAATCAAACATGAAAGGTACGAGTCGGAGGATCTCATTGATATTCGGCAGTCTTGGTGATGAATTCTTCAAGCAAATCCTCAATGCTCTTCGGCGTGAGAACTGCACTGTCTCTCATCCGAACATTCACCTGAAAATGTCGAGTCAAACAAAACAAAACAAAACGGTCTTTAAAATGTTCATACAAAACTAGCTAATTAATCCCAAGAGACTCTATGCCAATAACTAACCTGTCCTGTAGCAGCTTCGTTTTCACCAACTACCAGTATGTAGTTGTACTGCGCCAACTGAGCTTCTCGCACCTACACAAACCACAATCGTCAATCTTAGGAATCACAAGCCAACCACAGAACAAGAAGCAGAACATGAACCCTCAAAACTGTTACCTTCTTATCGATCTTTCTGTCCGTCATGTCCGCATCAACATAGTACCCAGCTTCATGGATTTTGTTTTTCACCTGAGACAAAAAAAAGAGAAAAGCCAGAGATTAGACGCCTGCAAATAAATTGATAAGAAGCACAGGAGCTCACTAAAGAATGCAGCCACGAGTGTAACCTGTTTTGCATATTCCTCGGATTTCTTTGATATAGGGCAAACTATGGCCTGGCGCGGACTAAGCCAGAAGGGCCATTTTCCTTTGTAATGCTCCAGCAAAATGGCAAACATACGTTCCACAGATCCCAACACAGCTCTATGGATCATCACAGGTCTCAGCCTCTTCGCTTCGTCGTCACCAGAGTATTCCAATTTGAAGCGATCCGGAAGTTGAAAATCAAGCTGGTATGAGGCGACAAGAAAACATAAAATCAATTTCTGCACTGATTATAGCAAGAGAAAAAAAAAGGAAACAAGGAAAAGTAAAAAGAGTTTGGGACCATAACCTGTAGAGTAGCACACTGGAATTTCCTGTTCATTGCATCAGAAACTGTAATGTCTATTTTTGGGCCATAAAATGCTCCATCTCCTTCGTTCAACTGCCAAAACAACACACCTTAGAACGAATGCGAACTTTGCGAATAAACTTGAGTATTCATCAACAAGTGCCATTACCACCCAGTCCTTTCCAAACTCTTCTAGTGCTATTTTGAGATCACTTTCAGCTTTATCCCAAGTTTCCAGATCTCCAAGGTACTTTTCTGGCCTCTGAAATTCAAATTGACATGAAAATGAACATATCACGAAAAGTCTAATAAAATTTGGTGGATAAACAGGTGAACAATATTCAGAAATGGTACCGTTGAAAGCTTAAGCTCATAGGTAAACCCAAAAATTTTGTACGCATAGTCAATGAACTCCAACACAGCCTTCACTTCTTCCGTAACCTGCAAGTGCAAACATATAATAACATTAACCAAAAAAAAAGGGAGGAAAATAGGCTTCAACATTGCCGGACACGAGAATACCACAAACCTGATCCTCTGTACAGAAAATGTGTGCATCATCCTGAAAAAAGTATGCAATCATTATATAAGTAACATATATGGAGCATTGAACGGAAACAATGATGAATAATCAAAGTAAACAAGGATGCAACAAATACCTGCTGGAACCGTCGGACACGAGTCAAACCACTAAGTGCTCCACTTGCCTCATTGCGGTGTAACACACCAAAGTCAGCCAGTCTGATAGGTAACTCTACAGACCATATATACCGTAAAAATTGGTGTCAGCAAAGATAAATGATACACTTTATAACTTTTTTAGTAAAGATTTATAAAAGGGAAACATTATCCATATTGTCCTTAACGATAGGCTACAAAGCACAAATTAAACTTTCACAGAGTAATCCACTAGGGAGTTTTGATAGTCTGTTATGCAGTGAACTTTAATTTCTATTTTCTACTACTAGTATCATTCGTAGATCTGTTTTTGATGATATTAAACAGCCCTACAGGAACAGAGTCGTACCTCTGTATGAGCGAACCCTGTGTTGGAACATCAAGCAGTGACCAGGGCAATTCATAGGTTTAAGCCCGAACTCTTGCTTCTCAATCTGCATAAGGAACATTCGCAAAAGTCAATTACGCGTAGAATATAATTTAGGCCAAACAATGGCTTTTAGAGAGAAGTTTGCTAGAGTAACAGAGTCAAGGGGGCTCTTAAGGTTCCATGTACTCTTACATCAAAGGTAAACATATTCTCCTTGTAATTTGCAGCATGTCCAGAAGTTTCCCACAGATTCATGTTGTACATGTTTGGTGTAATGACCTGCCAATGTCAGGTGAATTTAGCGATCCACAGTTATCCAGTATATAAATATGAGATGAGAGTTTAGAAAAAACCTCTGTGTAGCCTCTTTTCCAGTATTGCTCCTTAATGAACTCCATTAGCTTGTTGTATACACGAGTGCCGAGAGGAAGGAAAAACCAACTCCCAGGGCTGAAGCATAAGGACGATGGGTATATATATTAGTATACTGAAAATACAAAGAGGAAAACACTGTTTATTAGCACTGAAAGATACCTGAGTGGATGACAAAAGAATAGTTCCTGCTTTTGGCCCAACAGTCTGTGATCATACTTTTTCGCTTCTTCTAGAAACTGAAGATATTTCTGCAAAGACAAAGACAAAGATGAATGATGATAAATGTCATACATTTGTAAGAAGCTGCGTATCTGTCAGAATATTTAAGAATAGGAGTACCTTCAGCTGCTTCTGATCGGGATATGATATCCCATACACTCTCTGCAGGCTCTCACGGTCTTTGCTTCCCCTCCAGTAAGCTGAAGAGGCCTAAGAAAAATATATTGGTCACTGGTCAGTATGAGAAAACAAAGTACAATGTGCAGAGATATAGCAACTCACCCTCAAACACTTGAATGCTTTCACAAAGGAAGTGTTCGGTATGTGCGGTCCACGGCATAAATCGACCAAAGGGCCGCATCTGTAGACGGTAATGGTCTTCTCAGCCGGCAAATCATTGATGATTTCAATCTAGATAATTAACAACAAAAGAATGAGGCCAAACAACAAATTCAAAGAGGACATAAACGAATGTGGGATTAGGGGAGCATAACAAATCCAATGATGATACTAATAAACAGCTTAACCCACCTTGAATTTATTATCAGAAAACATCTCGAGTGCCTGATCCTTCGTCACTTCAATCCTTTCAAATGGTTGCGCTTCCTGAGATGTAGATAGAAGAGAATCAGAGACATAAAAGTTGGGTGACAAATATCATACATTGTAAGGAAGCTCCAAACAATCGAATAAAACATCAGTACATCACACTAAAGAAGAAACAATACCTTAGCAGCTTTAGCAGCACCTGCTTCGATGTTAGGAAAGTGATTGTCATTCAGGCCCAAATCATTGTAAAATCCATCATAGTAGAAACCCTGCAGTAACAATCCACTACAAACATCAGCGATATCCACCTTTACACAACATTACAGTGAAATAAGCAAGAACCAGAAAAATGGTTTCCTCCTTTCTTTTTCTACTCTTACAGCCAAAGTAGCATCCAAATTCTAAACAGAGAAACCGGATTTCACAAATGATCGAACATATACAAATTCTCATACCTCCCCTCTCGTTGTACATGGTCCTATGCATAGCTGACATCCATACTCCTGCTCAAGAGCCTGCAACCAGATCACACACATATCCACAGTAAACAAACCATTCGATACGAGCAAAATTTCCCCTAATCAGATCAGATTAAACAAAAAAACTCTTTACCTGACCAAGAATGTGTGCACTAGAATGCCAGAGAGTATCACGGCCTTTGTCGCTATCAAATTTGAATAGCTCAAGCTTACAGTCACCTTCCAGTGGCCTACTCATGTCCCAGAGCTCATCGTTGACCGCTGAAATTAGAGCAGAATTTGCCAGACCCTTTGAAATCTGGCCTGCGATATCCATTGGAGTGGTCTCCCATGTCTTCCCTTCTTTCACGTTCCCATCTGGCAATGTAATCCTAAGTCCACGGCACCAGAAAAATCGTTCAGCAACAAATCGAAAACTTTAGATAAACAAAACCACAGTGATAGATTTGAACTCCGGCATCGTCTTACTTGATCGGATCGTGTGGTAGAGACTTGAGCTTCTCGAGCTGATTGGCTTGGATCTGCTCGAAGAGCTTAATCCGCTTGGGGATGACAGCGGTGAGATACGCCTCATCCTTTGGGTGACTAGCTGCCATTGTTGGCACAGTACAAAACGAAGACGCAGGCGCTAAGCGAGACGGTAGGTACGAAGAAGAAGAAGAAGAAGAAGAAGCAGTGGCGTAACGACGAATAGAGAGAGCCGTAAGACGGAGGAGCATCAAAGAGCAAACGCTGTTTCCGTTGAAAGTGTTTTTGTTATCCGAGTAAGTCTAGGGTTTTTCATTAGGTGCGAGAAGAGAACAAATCTGAACCGGAAAAATCGAAACAAACCGAGTTAAAATTGCGTGATTTCAGTTCGGTTTCAGTCAATGTGCACGGTTAAAGTAATCTGATTTCGGTTTAGTTATGGGTTAGCCGGTTTAAATCTTTGTACATGAGTATGATCTATGATGTATAAAAAAACTCATGTACCTTTTTACTTTGATAGATAAAAGAATTTATACACCGAGAGTGAAACTACTATACAAGACATTTCAATGTAAAACTCCAAATCAACGTGAGAGAGGGTCGAAGGAGAAGAGCCGTCTTTGTTCATCAGTGGGATTTCTCAGCAACTTGCAGAAAATAAAAGTGGCTGCAACAACTGATAAAAGAGACAGAACCGCAAGGAACCCGAAATGTGAAGCGTCATTCGCGGCTATGGCTACTCCGAGCATCAGCGATTCAGCTAGACTAGCTACTGAGATCTCGGTCGCACCGATGAGATTAGCTTTGGACGATGGGATTCCGGTTTGAAGAATCTGAGCTCCCACAACGCCGTAAGACATGTGACCAAGCCTCGACAATACCTGCATTTGTTTGTTCTCTTTTGGTTAACCCAAACTGTTCTGTTACAGTTCCTGAGAGAGGAGAAGAAGAAGAAGCTGCTTACGATCATGGACAAGAAGAAGAAGAGTGGACTTTTCTGGGAGAGAGAGGAGCTCCAGTACACAGCAACAGCAACACCAAGGAGTGAAGCTTGGAAGAACAATCCTACAGCACCCGCCTGCATCGTTTTGTAAACACAAAAACATTTAACCAGCTTGAACGCATTACATGCTCAAGATACTAAATGGCGGGAACAAAAATTCAAACCTTTAGAATGCCAAATCGTTTGACCAAGTTTGCTGATAAGAATGTTGCCGCGACGCCCATGACAGCGCATAATCCACTGAAACTCCCAATAACTGATGGATTCACAGCTGTAGAAAAGACAGGTTGGTGACTTATTCGGGTGACTAACAGAGGAAAAACTCTCACTCGTGTATAACTTTGATATGAATCATTGAGAATCATGGCTAAAGAAGCATACATCGTTGTGTTAGAAATGCGGTCATCAAACTGCCCGGTGTGAGGACAATGTTGAAATAGAGAAGGACATATGCGAGGCTAGCGGGAAGAACTGGCTGCTGAATGTATTCTTTCCATCCAAGCTTGATAGCTTCCATGCCGATATCAACTGATGAACAAAGCAAGTGGCATTAGTGATGTAAAAATACTCAAATCATATATTATGCTTGTTAAAGCATTATGGAGTAAAGACTGTCATATTACCAATACTTCCTTCGGTAGCACAGCTCGTCTGGGAGCATTTAGGACGGTCGAGAACTCCAGAGGAGAATTTGTTGGTCAACCATATAAGAGCTGTCTGTAAAAAAAAGCATATTTTGTTTATCAGAAGTGCAAGACACTTTGCCGGGTTTAACACACACAGAAAAATGACTAATGAGCAATTGGAGAGTGCATGGAGCAATGAGACGGAAAGGTGCGAGTATAATACAGAACATAATCGGCTATAGTACCATTGGAAGGACTGAACGATAAAGATTGCTTTGTATGAGGAAAGAAAAAGAGTTCTGACAAATATGACTTATTCCCTTGTACATAGTTCAGTATTTCAGTCTCTAACAGCACAGCAGCTTTGTGGTTTCTATATTTAGCTTCAAATACTACATTTCAGTACCAAAACTGTATATGAAATCGCTACTTACCATGGTTGGCAAAGAACCTATCATTAGTGTGGCAGCAAACTTTAAGCAGGTCACAGGGTCATATTTGGATAGGAGGATGCCAAATAACATCGTTCCAGCGATCTGTATAACGTTTTTATAAACATTTGGATTAATGGAATTCAAATGGTAGAAAGCACATAAAATCAGAAAATTAGTATAGGAGTATACCTCGCAAAGCAGATCAATCCTGTTGAGAACTGCATTTGCTTGTGCAAGAGCGATTGGTCTGTTTATGCCTGCCAACTACCAAATGATAAAGTAATTACTTCAGTCGATCTTTCTTCTGATGAAAACAGGTATTCTATGGCATCACAAAGAAGACATACCAATACAACCCAATCACGTTCTATGGCGACTCCAGATGCAATGCCACACAGTCTGTCAATGGCCCCTGCGAATATCAATGCAAAAAACCAAGGCTGCAGGAGAATTGATGACCCCAATGTGGAAGGAACCGTGTATGCATGAATTATCGTTCCTGCAGATACCACTTGAGCGGCTGCCTGAACATGTAGTCATGTAGATATAGAAAATGTTCATGCCAGTTGATTTGTGATGTCAGATGACAGACGTTACAGCAAAGTAATCAATAAGTCAATTTTTAAGAGATTACCTGAACGACATTCAGCGAGATATATGTAGAAACCCTCGGACTATGATCCATAAACTTTCCAACAACTGGACCACCGATAATTATAGCCAATTTAGTGACGAAGCCCATGACTGCCACAGGCAGTAAGCTCGGATATAGCATTGCAATGGCGGACGGCCAAGCAAAATTCCATAGCTGTTCAACCAAATTTCCCACCAAACAGCTTGCATATAACACTGATAAAATCGAGTAAATGTCATCATAAGATATCTTAAGAAATCTTAAGATATGATGAAACTAGAGAGAGCTCTAACCATATAATCCTTCAGGGTGAGCGGGTGTAGCTGCAAGTGCAGTCTGCTCCTCCTCGGATAAGACCTAAGAAAACAGAAGATATATTTGATTAAAGCAATACTGTAGAAAATGTTGGATCTTGATCAAGGAATTTGAAAGGCTTGACCAAGAAGGTGATGACATACGGGCAATGCTGTCAAAACTGTATCAACGTAAGTACACTCGGTGAGTAAGCTCAGAGATTCAGTTACAGCGATATCGGTATCAAGATGAACAATTGGAATCGAATGATCCTCAGCTGGAGTTGGCAAGTCCTCATGGATGTTATCATCAGTGGTGACAAAGTCATGATATACATCTGTGTTTGTAATCGAACACCTTGAACTAAAGCTGTTTAACCTATATCATGAGTAACGAAAATTTGCAATCAGCAAAACTATAACGAGAAATCGAAAATGTTCAATTTGGAAATTTTCGGATTCATTTCGAAATGGATATTCCTGGCGATTTCACGGCATAAACTAGTTCAAATTGCGAACACACTACCTAAGAAATTTCTTTCACATATGCGCCTGAAACTTATTATTTCGAAAACTTAGAAGAATCGAATGCAGACCTGCGGGAGCAGGAGGCTGATGAGCTGAGACTTAACCATCTGCAAGATGGGAAGCGATGGCGGACTCTGGAAAAAGCCACCGGCGGCAAATAACGGGTTCTATCGACCGGGAAATGAAACAGAAAATCGAAACACGGCGATTGCCTGACCAAAGCCATGGAAACAACCATTCCAGAAAACGATTCTCCTCTCCGTTCTTCAAGTAATCGAACTTTAAGGAGTCGTAATTTGTTCTCTTCGCCTTCTCTAAACTCATGCAGCCTCCAAAAAAAAAAACTCGAATTTTACCTCTAATCTGCTTTCAATCTTCTCTGAATTTTCCCCTCTATGGCCTTAATTGCCAATAGATTTTCGTCAGCCCGAGGGGAAAAAAAATCAGAGGACTCAAAAACCTTATCTACGGTGTGGTTTTTTTTTTTTTTTTTTTTTTTTTTTTTACGCGAAAAGAGTACTCAAGTGGGCAAAGACCCAAAAGGCAAAGAGAGAGTCAGAGAGATTGTGCAAGGGAGATTACGCCACGTAGATTTATTTGTAACCGATAATATATTGACACGTGTAGCTTCTTATCAGTCTTCACAAAGTACAGTAAATAGATTTTAAGTCTCCAAATTAAAGTTCAAACCCCATAATATTCAACAAGATTTGTTTTCAAAATCAAAAGTTTCGTAATATATCTAACAAAAGAGAAGTGAATTATTTAACTAGAAACGAGGAATATTGGAGATCCATCCATCTTGGTCGATGAAATTGGAAGTAGAGAATCGTTGTTTAGCGCGAAAAGAATGAAGTTTGTCCATCCAAGGAACTCTTCCAGAAACATCCGACCCAGCTCCTTTACAATCAACTTCTGCGTACGTGAACCTCGCTCTAACAAAAAAAACATTTTGTTTTTAGTATATAGTATTCATTCACATATATAAAGAAAGAAAAAAAAAAAAAGAGACAATGGGACTTACTCGTGACCAGCGAAGTGCCAAGGGAACCAACCCTGAGGGATGACGACAGAAGCAAGATCGGTTTGGATGAAAATGACTCGGCTGAATGGACCATAGGCTCGTCCAAGATAGACATTGATGGTCCCTGACACACTTCCTCGTAGGAACACGAACGCACTTGTGTCCGAATCACTCCTTCTTGATTGAGCCGTTATGTAACCGTACGTCACTTCTGATGACAATCCTCCCGCTGTTGCGTGTATGTGACAGTCCTGTCAATTAGATTATATAGATGTTATCGGATTCACATCGATCTTAAACAAAGAATTATGTCAATGGAGTAATCATTGTACTAGTAGTTTATTCTTTATAAAAAAAAAAAAAAAAAAAAAAAACATTATATCAAACGTACGAGCAAAATTTTAACTAATTTTTTATCAGCGAATTTTTTTGTTTTTTTAAAGGAAAAGGTGTTGTACATAAAACTAAAGTACACAATAATTTCAATTTTCTTTCACAAAACAGAAATAATCTACTATTGACAAAAATTCATTTAGTTGAGCTAATAATTTATGCCTAGGTTTTGGGTGTTTTCCTATAAAAAGGGCTTTTGCCTTTTTTTCCATATCAACCCAAAAAAGGTGTTATGAAAAGATTTCGCAACCACCCTTTTACCATTCAAAACCGAAGTGTATAGAGAGAGATTATTATGTACACATACCTCGTAGATAGATTGGCCCTGGCCAAAAATGAAATCGATAGCACCTTCAATGTAACAATCTTTGAAGTGATGTCTGCCTTGATTGTCCCACAACGTGTCTTGCAACCCCAAGATATCACAGTTGTAGAACGCCGATTTATCGCCATAAACCGCTACCGCTACCGCTGGCTTTATTGACCAACTCATGCCGTTTTGTGTAGCTCGAATACTATCCAAACGATTATACGTGTTCTGCCACACCAAAACATGCATATATATGGAAATTTTTTACTATAATTAGTATATTGTTACGTCAAGAAATAAAATATACAGTAGAAAATAGTCAAAGATATAATGAGGTTTCGTTACGTAACTATGATTGTTATGTTTCGGACGACAATGTGGGATGGATGGGAAGTGAAAGTAGCGCTGGCGTCAGTGGCTTTGTGAGCATCATACGTGATGGTCGTGACTCTTTGTCCCTCTCCTTCTACTATTATGCACGATTTCATCAACGGTATTTCCACCTTCTCTCTGCACATTCATCACATAAATTAAAACGATATGTTATATTGATCTTAATTACATCTTGGAAAACTAGACAAATATTTAGGTTAAGAGTGCAGATATATAAGATGAAAAATCAACTAGGTTAGTATTTCCACACCAAGTATAACCAAACGCTATAAAATCGCGTTTGGGAAAACGCCGAGTTATAGAATTGGAAAGAAAAGGAAAAAACAGTAGGGAGTTGGTCTTTACTTACTTGTAGACACCTCGTTTTACTTTGATTTTGATCCACTGATAATTCCCTTCACCAACAGAATCAATGGCAGCTTGAACCGTACGGAAGTTTCCATAACCGTTTTGGTCGACGACGATTGTGCTCACGACTCTGTTGCCGCAAGTTGGATCAAGGGCTGTCAACGATCCAATACAAGAACTCAGAAGCAAAGCTATGAAGATGAACAAACAAGACGACATGTTGTTTCTTATGTGTGGAAAAAAAAAATGACGAAGAAAGGAGAATGGAGTTGTAAACTTGTAATATGATTATGGTAAGGGTTGATTTATGTGTTGCTTTAAATAGATAATGTTATTTTTCCTATTTAATATGTAATATATTTTGAAGCTAAACTTGGAAATTATACGAACGTAAGATATTAGATTGAAATTTGATTGAATGTTTAATTTTTGTTTGATTTGGGCCTAATTGAACTTTTGACTTTATATATAGAAACTTTATCATGATAAAAATGCGTATACTTATGCTAGTAAAAACCTCAATATACTCAACTGTTTTAGCTAATCCATGGATCTTATTTATTTATGATAAGGTTACACAAACTAATCATCGATTTTATAATATAAATGGAAATTTGTGTAACCTTGTCATCGATTATGATTTTAACACGTCATAAAAATTATGAAAATAGAAATTTACACAAATTCCATTTATTTACACTTGACAATTTGTAAAATTAGAATTGGTCAATGTGAAAGGTTAGTAAAATACTTTTTCATCATTTTAAAATGGAAAATCAACTATAGTGTACAACTTACTTGTTCCAATTTTCGAGTATAAATTGGAAATTCTAAAATATTTATACAGATTAACTTAACCTTATGTATGATTTAGCTAGATTTATATATATCGTCTCTAAGAATTGGGCAAAAAGCCAAAAACTTAACCTTGCGTATAATTTAGCTAGATATTATTGTGCATCAGTGCATGAATGACTATGATTCTTTATTGCATTTCATTTTTGTCGTCTTTTATTGCAGCTCGTAAGCCAAACAATTTCCTGTATTGAATTAAAAATACAAATTTGAGAATTGATTTGTATTTTACACGAAATTAACTTGATCGAGATTTAGGAGTTATTAAGGAAATCTAATCAGGATTAGTTTTCCTAAAAAAAATGTCTAGCTATATACTTAAATCTCTAACAAATTAGACGGAGAGCATTATTTTGAAATTTAGGTAGAATCTATTGATCGAAATTGAAAATTATAAAATTAATATGATGTGGAAACCGTAACTTACTTAATTTGGTTAAAGTATATTTAATTTTCATGTTATACAGAATACTATAAATATTCACGGTCTAACTTTTCGTTTCTTTTAGACACGTAATATCAAACATTTAAAATTTGTCCAGACAACTGCAGATTGTTAGTAAAACTAAATATCTATAAATATTACATTGATCCTATAAATATTTTAGATTCATTTCTCACATACTATTAAAGTAGAGACACAACAAAAGAAAGTGCACTAACAAAGCGCCTATCCTTGTAGCCAAACAGGATTTAACCAGTAATTAACCTCTAAACTTAAATCATACCGGCGAATCTAATTGATTTATCCATGACCAACAAAACCGAGTGCAGATCCTCATGAATCATACCGGTTTATTGGAGAGTTTAACTCCAAACAAACCCGGAAAATCTTCGCCTGCATATCAATCAAATCAAATAAACATAAAAACGGAATCATAATCAAATTTAGAAACAAAACTAATAATTAGGCCATAAAATCGGAACCTGCCATAATATGGTAACTAAATAGATACGCATGATCCTATATAAGAGTTATTTTCAAAATTTGATATCGAAAAGAATATCTTTGGTAACTTTTAATCTTCGGAAACAGAAAATATTGTTTTGCGAGATTTTAGCCTAATTGAGAGTATATTCGGAATTAAATGATTGAAAATCTAATAATGAGGAAACTCCAAACAATATAAGTACATGGTTCACCACAGGGTTATGATACTGACCTATAAATTGTGAGGCAGTCAGAACCAAAACCAAAGTGGAATCACGGCTAATGCTCTTACGGTCACACTTTGGAAGATCATGAAGCCATTCACGTCTCGAATTCAAATGAGGGTCTTGCACCTGTGGAAGCAATTCACATTCTCATCAGTATAGTCCATAGAAATGATTATCTCAGACGTTGAGGTAATGAAAAAAAGCATTCAAATAGTGTTTTAAATTTATGGTGACTTTTCGTTTGTTTCATATACAACTCTGATTATTAAACTTTTTTTTTCAAAAAAAATAGACAGATTAGGAACACAAATCCATGGTGATGTGACGAAGGAGCATGTTCTACAAATCCATAGGGCTACTCTATTCAGAGTTGGATAGTATAAAAAGTGAGTTTACTTAAAGTGAGTTTACTTGATTCATTATATTCTTAATGATTATTCCATAACCATGAAGCATAATTAACATTATCATCTTCGATGTGGTTTTCAGGAAACAATGCTCTTAACAAAGAGAAGATCCTCAATAATATAATTTTGAGTCTAACGAGTCTTATATTTGTATAAACTGAGATGATCGGATTTTCTTTATGGGGTATATTAGCTTGACCCCATAAAGATCAATATTAACAAACTAACAGAACTGGAATCATATTTGTAGGCTTATACAAGCTTCAATCAAAAAGAAGGATATCAAACCTTTCAAGAATGTATGCAGTCAACAATAAGAAGAAACAATGCCATGTAAATCTATGTGTTAGCCATGCCCTGTTAGCCATGTAAATCTTTGTGCGTTTCTTTTCATATCATTTCTCAATAAAAGCTTCTTCCTCATATCTCATTTATTCAAAGAGAAATCTAATTACCTTTTTCTATCTTATGTTTGTAGAGAAACATGTTAGTTTTCTAAAATCTCATATCTCCTTATGTCGGTACACCAACGTTCTACATGTCGTATCTACTACAAAAAAAGGTTGAATCAACTCGATATTAACAGGTCATGTTGTAGATAGGAGATATACAGGAAACGGATATAAGAAAAATAAAAGATTGTACTAATATCCAAAGCAATGCTAAAACGATGAAGTAGTGATCAAATAAGCCATCTCTAAGATAATGAATTTGGGCAAAGAAGCACCAAACTGATCTCAAAATGGTCATTAACAATTTTCCGATTCAAAAGTTTGTCAAAACATATATTGTTGTAATACGTGATATGTAGGTTAAACTGAAAGTGCTCCGGCATATTCACTTGATAGAACACAACAACATATCTCTTTTCAGACACTTATTCTAGGTAGCATAAAAAGTATTTACCAGTTCGTTTAGGTCAATCCTGTTCTGAGATGGTATACTTCTCAACCAGCGACGTATCTTCAAGCCAATCTCCAGTTGTTACCGACGAGAGGTCAAGATCCAGCAACCGAAACCTTTTGAAAGCAGCATAAAACAAAAACTCAGAAAAAAACCTGATCAAACAAGAAGCCAACTCTCAAACTCATGAAAACCAAAAAACAGAAGTTACTCATCAAAAGGGGATGTCTAAGATCATGATGATGTCTTTTTATTTTCCGTTGCAGGTTCTGTCATTTTGGTTGATTGCTGCGATTTCACAACCTGAAAGAAAAAGTAATTAGCTTCTTGTGGTTTTAGGAAACTTAAGCAGAGAAGGTTAATTAATCTCACACAGCTAATAGAACAGACACTTCTTCTCATCAGATTTACATTAAAACAATTTCAAGTTAAGAAAGTTGCATAACATTGATTCATCAAAAACTCATGTATCACTCTTCGATTTGAGAATTGTTTGAAAGTGAGTATCAATCTGAAAGTCAGCAACCACAAGATTTGAGATTAAAAGAGACTAATTTGACCAAAACAAATCTGAAAGACCCACAATTTTTACTCGAGAACCAAATCAATCGCAAGTTTAAAAACCAAAAAGACAAATATTAAACACCTGATTCTTCTTAAATTACAGTGAGATTTTGCGAAACACAAGACAGGAAACCTAAATTAAACGCCATATACAACCAATTTTTGAAGAAAACGTACCATGCAAAAGTTTTCGCCGAATCGTTCAAACTAATTGTTGATTTCACTGCAGCTTCTTCGTCGATTCGTGAAACATCATCTTGCTTTCGGCCAAACCACCATTGGAGACGAGATTTCAGTGAGATTTCTCAACGAATTTCGGAGAGCCATCGAAGAAGCAGAATCGCCTCAGAGAGGAGTAAGAAGAAAGAGAGAGAAATGGATTTGCCAAAATGAAGAAGAAGAAAAAAAAATTATCTTGCTTCAAACTCGGTCCAGTCAAAATGGGACACGTGTATTAACAGACGTCGCTTATTTCGTTCCATTTGCTATTTTGCTCTATACTGTATACAATAATGCTCACTTTTTATTTGATTAAATTAAATGCCCAGTTGAAACATAAACGACGTAGCTTTCCATATTTTGACCAGTTGGTTTTGTTGCTAATAAAATTACTCTGGTCCAATTTTAGTAAACCGACGTCAAACCGAAAATTGAATCAAACCTTACATAAATGTCTGTCAAGAAGAAACGTAACCAAGTATAAATTTATGAAAAATTTCTAAACAAAACCATATGAATATGTCTGTAAAGGAGAAACGTAACCAAGTAATAAATTTATGAAAATTTCTAAACAAAACCATATGAATGCCGAGACAACTTGTGAGAAACTGATAATCCTATCATAGTGATTCAGTTTCAGATTATTTGAATGCTCGATTATTTCTGCCTTTTCCGGGACAAATTTGGGAAAGAAACTCTGCTGAATTTTGCTAAAACAAATATAATACTGATGAAAATATTTTTTTCTTTAATTAGAAAAATCCCACACTATTAACATAAATACAAAAAAATACAACTTTGCTCTGCTGAAATTTATGCTACGGGAGAACATGATGTTTTAGTGTCGTTCTCAAGTAAATAAAATTTTAACGCTACAAGTTGGAACATGTTTTTTATTTTTTATTTAAGTGGATAAAAAAAGTTAAAATCGAAACTAAAAAAAAAAAACAGTAATAACAATACAATTTTTATTTTTATAAGATACTCGGATATATATTTCACGTTGTCGACAACACGGATCAAGACAAAAGACATTCCAATAAAGATGAATAAAAGTATGATGTCTTTGTCAAAGTTTAATCTGATGAAATATCTGGAATTATCAATCTTATTAACAAAAAATTAACTCAAATGTTAGCAACATCACGGGTGAGAACCAACATTCTTTTATATATGAATTTTTTATATATGTCATTATCGTATAAATATATTTCTTGAGATTCGAAAATTATATAGGTTGAAAACAAATAAATCTCATTCAAATAGTTAAAGCTTAAAATATGATATAAAAAACATATGTTGTCACATCAACATTTTAATCAAACTTTAAAAAAATATCAAATTTTAGAAATCTAATGTTCATAAATTAAATTAACTCAAAGGTTAGCAAAACATCACGGGTCAGAATCAACATTATTTTAAATCCAAATTTTTTTGAGAGACACAAAAATGAACAGATATGATCAAAGTATCAAACATGAAAATGACCAAATAAATTTAATTCAAATAATTAACGATTAAAATATGATAAAAAAAGCATATGTTGTCACAACAACATTTTAGTCAAACTTTAAAACAATATCCAATTTTAGAAATCTATAGTTCACAAATTAAATTAACTCAAAGCTTAGTAACATCACGGGTCAGAACCAATATTCTTTCAAATCCGAGTTTTTTCCGAGAGGCAACAAAAAATTATCTCATTCAAACAATAATTTCTTACTAGCAAAAATTAATCACTTTTACCATTCTGCTCCAATAAGCCCAAATATAACATATTTATTTTATCATATACTTAGATAATCTAATAATATTAATTCATCAATATATATGGCAAACATACTATTATTTTTATTATTACAATATGAATTTTAATATAAAAAATTACAACATCCTATGCTTCTCAAGACAACAAATAAATATATATATATATATATTGCCACAACAACATTTTAATCAAATTATGAAACAATAAAAAGTTTGATAAACCTAATATTCACAAATTGAATTAACTGAAAGGTTATTAACATCACGGGTCAGAACCAACATTCTTTCATGTATGTTGTCACAACAACATTTTAATCAAATTTTAAAAATAATATTCAATTTTAGAAATATAATGTTCACAAATTAGATTAACTGAAAGGATAACAACATCACGGGTCAGAACCAACATTTGTTTAATTGACTCAAGTTCACAACTTACTCTGTTATAGTTACATTTGTTCAATTGACTAAGGTTCACAAATTAATTAACCCAAGGTTAACAATATCACGGGTGAGAACCAACATTTGTTCAATTGACTAAAGTTCACAAATTTAGTTATCCCAAGGTTAACAACATCAGATATCAGAACCAACATTCTTTTAAATTTGGGTTAAAAGAACCAAAAAGAACGAACATATGTGGTCAAATGTGAAATATTGTACAAAATTTTAACTCACCAAATCAAACCGAGCGAACTGAAAAAATGATCACATATTTACTTTATATTATTCAGACTTTGGTTTCAGTTAGATTTTTGGTTTGCTCGGGTCAGAATCTAGCATTAAGTCATGAAACTATAACAATTTGTAACTCACCAAAAAAACATAATTAATGATCACATATTTATTTTATCTCATACTAAAATAATCAAATAATATTGATTCATCATTACATATCACAAATATATATACTATTATTTACATAATTACAATGTCAATAGTTAAAGTTTTCTTATAAAAAATTACACATATTCCGTGATTATTTCTGATCGTAAAGTTTTAGATTTGGGGAATTAACTTTCTGATGAAACGGAAATAACGAATACGGTTGTCAAATTTGAAATATTATATAACATTATAACTCACCAAATCAAACCAAGCAAACCCGTAAAACGACATATATTTATGTTATAGTATTCAAACTTCGATTTTGGTTTGATTTTGCTCTCTCAGGGTCAGAATCTAGCTTCAAATAATAACAATTTGTAACTCACCCAAAAATAACATTACTGAACGCATAATTATTTCATCTCATCTTTAGATAATCAAAATAACACTAATTCATCATTATATATCACAAATATATATATATATATACTTATAAAAATCACAACATCCCGTGCTTCCCAAGCACGGGTCAAGACCTAGTTATTTCTTAAAGTTACTTTTAACTATTTAATTTACTGTACCTACTACCTAATCTGGAAATACAAGTTTTAGATATACGATATCATATCAAATTTATTAGTATATGCAGTTTTAGTATTTTAATAAATCAAAATAGCTATAGAAAATAGAAATTTTAAATTGATTCTATATGCATTTTAGATTTTTTTCTAAAAATAAATATTACTGAAAACACTCTTGACTATTTAATTCATTTGTATATAAGAGTGAAATATTTTAAGGTGTATTTTACTATAATATTGAGTTTATTACATTAAAAAATCTATCAAATGATATTGTTACATTTTAGACAAATTATATCGAACATTCCAGGCAATTCCAGAACTGTTTTTTTCATTTACTACTTCTCTATTCTCCATTTCACCATTTGTATATATTCATGCATCACAGAAATCTATATAAAGTTAAAAATCCTTTTTGAAAATTTTCTCGAAACTCGAAAATCTATTACAGATTATATTGTTTCAAATGAAAATAACTTCAGTCATATATGATATCATATACACTTAAATTTTTTCATTCCAAAGCAACCAATTTCTGTATTTTCTTGTTAAAGACAAGCAACCAATTTAGATTCATATAATTGGTGCTTCTTCGACGATCATTAGATAACAAATTTGTTTTTTAATCATCTGACAACAATTAAGACATTGTATAGATTCTCTCTTTCATAAAAATGTTGAGGGTTTTGCAACTGTTTAAAAAAAAACTCTAAAATATATGATTACATACTAATGCAAAACAACAGTACATATCAATATAATCTTTTTTCATATAAACTTGAATCTATTTCACTCACACTCACTTCACTCTAACACAGAGAAACAAAGCAAGCTAGCGTTGAAATCCCAATACATACCAACCACCATGCCAGGCACAAGTCTTCTCCTCCTCACAAACTCTTCGATCCAAGATTCACGCATAGAGAAAGTATCTTCATGCGGGTGCTTCCACAACGTAACATTGTGGTATGTGTTTGTATCGAGATCCTTCACCCGTAAATCATTGATAGAACGAATGAACACACATGCATGTTGGAGAGATATGTCACCTCGTCGTTCGTGTCTCAGCATAGCATAGATTTGCTCCTTTGGAAACTGAAACTTGCCTCCGGTCCATAGCTCATCAATTGATAGGGTTTTCACGATATCCCAAGGGACTGGAGTTATGGGTCGGATCTCGATCTCTTGAGGAAGTAGTGGATGATTCGAATATGTTGATGAGTTGGCGTTTTCTTCTTGGTGTTTTGTTTGAAGGAAGGTGTAGAACAATGTTTTGTTCATGCTTGAAGATTTTTTGTTTTTTTCTTGTGTTTTTGGGGTGATGAAAAAAGTTGGCCGAGAAGTGTAACTATGATTTGGATTGCCAAGGCTTATGAGAACTTATGTTAGATATGGATTAAAAGAAGGGGTGATGTGTTTCTCTTTATAGGGATGAGAGTACACACATTTTTATTGATTTAGGCTTTATTTAGTTCTTTTTTTTTTCAGCTTAAGTACTGTATGGATTAGAGAAACATGTGTCATTTTTTTCTCTAAGATACTTAAAATTAAAATGCATAGTGCTGAAAAGGTAAAAAGAAAAAGAGAAAATATATCAATCATATCCTAAATAAGTAAAAATATCTTTTTTGTTATACCTCTCACCAGTATTCTTTTTAGTTGTCGTTATAGAGTTTTTCACGAAGATTAAGAATATAATTAAAGTTATTGTTATATCCCAAGCATGCAGCGGGTACGCGAAAGCGGAAGCATTTGGAAACACATAAGCGATATTTTTTAAAAAATTAGGAAGCGGGTACGTATTAGAAGTTTCTATATATATACACACATATATATATATATATATATATAACGTAAATCAAATATATCAATTTTATATAACTCAATTAATAATAACTAAAAATAATTCAAATCAGAAACCAATTTTAATTTCTTATATCGTTATTCTCAACTCCAAATAAAATAATCTTATATCTATGTTATTAAAGAAAAATCACTAAATTGAAATCGCATTCTTGTAATCAGAAGAGTTATTCTCATTTTATTTTTAATTTAATCAATTTCTAAACAGTTTTTTTTAGATAATAGATGAAAATTAGACCTTGTGAGTGCCAAATTAAATACATGCTATATAAATCATTATTTAAGATATCATATTTCTTAAACGGAAGTGTAAGCTTCCAAAATGGAATCGCAAACTTCTAAACAAAATTTATAAGGGTAATTTAGGAAGCGTCATAGAAGCGAATTTGTGAAAGCTTCCGAGAGCTTTCGATTCCGGGAAGCGGTCCTCCGGTTAGTTCCATTTTTTTTATTTATATCATTTTTTATTTTCAATGCATATTTATTATATTTTTTAACTATTATTTATACTCTTTTACCCCTAATTAATACGTTAATTTATATGATATGAATAATTAGTGAATTAAAATAGTAGGAATAATAGTTGAAAAAAAATAATAAATCTACATTAAAAATAAAAAATGAGAATTAATATGAAATTTTAATTTACTTTAGAACGACGACTAATTTAAAACGGAGGGGAGTATAAAAGAAGACATAACCTTCTTTTAACCCAAAATCAATTTAACTCTCACTACTATTTGCTATTAGTTTTTAAAAATGCCAAATTGTATAAGACATTTATAAAAATACAGAGATTATTGTGACTTTTCCAGTATCCAAAGTCCAAACGAACACAAATTGTTTTACATATGAAATGATAGTTCTTCTCACAAAAATTCACAACTTTGTAATTTCTCTCGCAGAATCATCGCCAGCCATTATTTGTTTTTCTTTTTACAATTTTGGGTTTATTGGTTTTTCTCAACTTATAAAAAACCGTTATAACCATTTGTATTATGTGTTTGTCAAAATACAGAAAAAAACAAACTATAATGGGAAGAGGTTTAACCGTTTAAGGCTAGAACAGCCATGAAAAGTTAAAATCAAAATGGGAATGAGAATGTTTGACACGGTAAAAAAAAAGGGAAATTTTGAAGGTAGTCTTTGATATATGAACTCCTCAAAGACGATACATTCAACACTTGAAAAGCTACTGCTTTAGGATTTTAAGCGTGGCTTAATGTTATTAAGAGCCATGGAGACAACAAGTACATAAATGCAGAAACATTGGTACGGTCGGCAACAATTGCTATGCCTAGATCATTCTGAGAACCAACTCATTTCACAGTAGCCAAAACCAAGCTCGAGGAAGACTCGCAAATCGACTAGCACATGAATCAATCACGCCTTTATAGCGTCAGCTCTAGGCCTCCATAGCCCTAGCCTGTATTTCTGGCTATATTTCAGTATGAGTTTCCTCTGCATATACAGAAAATCAGAATTTGTCAAATATCATGATAAAGTAATTTAGAGATGTGAAGACTGAAGCATAGCGCCAAGAAAACAAATCAAAACGTTTGATACCGTTGTTGTTCACTAAACCTATAACAGTTACAATGAAAGGAAATTTGCCTTAGTGAGCGACGCGAAGTGTGAACAATCCTACATTTGATGCTTTATGGGTGTGATAACAGTGAGACTCCACAGTAACAAGCTAAGACTTAAGTTCCAGGACCAGATCATACAACTAACTACAAATAAATAAATCTCAATCAATCTTGCTGCGCCTGAAAAGTTCAAGAACTCAACTTTTTGCTTTTGAGTATAGTTAGTTCACTTGATACTTACGTGTTTGCAAGGGATGCCAAACTTTTTGAGCCTGAGCGTACGAGTCACGAGCAGTTTCGGAAGATCACCGATCTCAGTCTCAAGTTTGGCGATGTGTGTCTCAACTCCTCCTCCAATCCCACTCAAGAACTCAGGGATTCCAACTTTCACTGCAATATCACAAAACACACAGATTTATGCTCAATCCAAACACCAATCACACATTAACACACTGAGTGTTAGCTGATCGAGAGAGATGTGTCGATAAATCTTCTGTAAATGCCGCATTTCGCAAGTGAACAATCTATTTTCCTTTATCATTTTTGTGATTTCGATCAATAATTAAGCCTAAACAACAAACAGAAAACCCAAATGTTCTAAGTACTGCAACCAATTAAAACCAACTAATTCTTAAAAATTTCCAGCTAATATCATCACTAGCATTTAAAAGCCTAAGCTCAATTAGAAACTTCTAACACACCAATCAGCTAATACACGCAGATTCTGCATCGATACAGAAGCGAAATCGAAAGAGATACAAAAATCGTTACCGGCGTAAGGAGCGGGCTTGGAATAGAATCTAGGGAGGGTTAAGGTCGAAGACGGTGGCGCTGTCCCTAGAACAGATCTCGCGTTCTGTATCAGTCGCATCCACGCCATTGTCGGAGCTTTCTTCTCGATAGACGACGAATCCTCTCCTCTCCGTCTCGACGAGACTTGGGTTTTTGGGTTTCTCTGACAACGACGTCGTTTCGCAGAAAGTAAGGATAAGCTCCCGATTACGGATTACGGCAAACCCATTAGACATTTAGCCCATCAGCCCAAAACAAATTTTTGTTACGTTTTTATTAGTGAAAAAGAGAAATTTCAGATCGTTGAAAACGTAACGATTTCAATTGAACTTGTACGATTTCAATGTTATCGTCTTATCGATTGTGTTTGTTTTTTTGATAGATCGGTTAGGTATTGAAGATATACATGGACCACATAGAAAATGACGATGAACATAGTTTTGTTCTTTTTTTTTTTTCTTAACATTCATACCAAAAAACATAGTTTTTTTTTTCTTGCTGGTTTTGAAGATTCGAACCTAAACTGCCCAACATAACATGATCACTGCGTTAAATAAACAAAAAAAACCAAACAAGTGATAGCGATTCGCGAGTGAGCTTCACGCCACGCGCCACCTTGAACACAGCATAAATTTCTACGCCATTGGCGCCGTCAGCCCGTCACGAGTAGCATACGGTGAAAGCAGATAAACGGAAGATAAAATTGAAGGATAAAAATCCAATCCAAAACTTTCCGGCAATTAACAATTTAACACCGTTTACACACACAGAAAAAAAAAACTAAGCGAAAGTAGGTGAAATCTCAATATCAGATAGTACAGCCACAGAAGAGGAAGAAGAAACAGAGCATCGACACCAACGCCACCGACTCGAACGCCGTCACTACTTTCCACACAACGTCGTCGAGCACCACAGTCAAGAAACTCAACTCCGGACAACGCCACCTCGCGTAACTACCGCCTGAAAACCACCTCGACACAGTGTCAGATCCAGATGAAGTTATATGGATCGGCCACCACCGGATCGCTGACGGCATCGGAATCTCTTATCTTATCTTGATTCCACAGCAGCGAAGTGAAGTCAATGTCTGTGTTGTGTAGTAGAATCTTATGTTAGTGCGGAGAGTGATGATGCAAGCTAATGGCGGAAAAGGACGCTTTTATGGCGGAAATGATGGGCAGAAACAGAGGATTGTGATATGATACATGCGAGTTCATTACATAGATCTCGATTTTGGACTGCTTATTCGCCGTCGATGTGTTGGATATTTTGAATAAACGGTGCTGATTTAATTTAGTAATATTACATTTTTCGAGATGTGCGGCTGTGATGGGATATATTGGGATCTGTCTATGCTTTTTGAACTTTTATTTAATTATTTTGTTTTGAAAAGGAAAAGGAGAATAGTTCCCTCCATCATTGTTGCTACTTGCTAGTTGAAATGTGTACTTAAGAGGATTTTGAAAACAAGTAAACTTAACGAAGAGAAGTTAAGTTATCACTTGTTTAGTAGAAACTACTTTAATGTCAATGACAAAAATTGTAGAAAACAAACGGAAATGGCGTCTGAAATTCGTGGGCTCTATCCTAAATTCCTAACACAGTCATATTTCACCAATATGGCCCGCGAATTGTTTAGATTTGAATTACGGTCCAAATAAGGAGGTTGGTTTCATGTCTCCTATCTTTTTTTTTTCTTTTCTGTCAACTCATGTCTCCAAACTCCTTCTCTATTTTCACTATATATATACAAAAAAAAAAGTAGACTCGATCGTTTGTTTCTTCATGAACGTAATGCTCCATTACAAAACTAGAACTCTTTTGGTTATATAAAAACAAAACTCTTTAGGATGAATATCTATCTTTATGATTGATCTGCTCATATCATGTTCTTATGATGTAGATTCAATGTCGGTTTTTCTTTGTTCAGGACGGAAACTAAGACCAATCGAGACATGAGCTGAGTTTCGGGATCTTTCTTGGATACATCTCCTTTTCAATTAACACAGCTATGGTGAATGGCTTCTTCAAGATGATTTTTTACCATATAACATGATGATAGGCTATTGGTTTAAAATGTAAAATCCATAATATAAACTTTGCTAATTATGTGTCAACACAAGTACCGTCGCTATTCATCTTTGCAGCTTTCGCAATGGCCCAAAGATTTGACATTTAGAGCCATTCTTGAAGCATCGTTTATGTGGATATAAAAGTAAGAGACTTCTTAACAAATCTCTATAAAACTAAACTATTCACATAAAACTACGAAACTATGATCTTCGTAATTTTAACGTGAATACCTTTTTAACAAAACCTTAAAAGGTACGATATTCGCTTTACCTCTCTCTCCTAACATTATTCACGAAATTTGTGTTCTGGAAGTTCAGTTTTTGGAGTATGCAATTTGCGAAAGACTGAGAAAGAAACGGCTTTGCCCCAAAAAAAAAGAAAACCATAAAAACGGCTTGTGTTGTTGCCTTTTTATATGGACTCTGGAGACTGGAGATAGAGAGGTTCGGAAAAACCGAGCCGAAAACGGAACGTGTATTAAAACCCGAACCTAATAAGACCAGTCTCCCCTTTCCACGTTTCTTCTCTCTTTGTCTATTGTGTCGACATTGTCCCTTAAACACATCCACCTTTATATAATAATCCCCAATAAACTAATAAAAATCGAACGATATATTTGGGTACTATCTTCTCCCATTGTTTTCTGTCGCCGTGTTTTCTTTCGGTAAAGTGATGAAACATTTTCATTTTCGTGCGTACTTAACATTAAATAAACAAAAAATCCACGTAAAGAAATACTCATAAACCGAGAAAAGCTAACTCGGATATGTTGTTGTTAACAATAATTTAACAAGGTACAAGAGGAATTTGCTAAAGTATTTTGGACATTTTTATTCTCCCACCAGTATTATTTTAAGAAAATTCTCCTTTTTGTTATCTTGTCTTTATCTCAGTGGGTTTGCAAATGCCGATGAATTCGGAGGGAAATAATTGATTACTGAAGTTCAATATTTTTTTTTTGGATAAAAACAATAAATACACAAACCCATAATTAGTGGAAAAAATAAGAATCATGTTTTTTTTTTTTTTTTTTTCCAGTTGTAGCTGTCTCTCTCGCATACTATCATGTCAAATAAGCCAAATTCATTTATTTTGAATTCATTGACTGCGTGTTACGTGTTTCCCTTTCCCCATTTCTCTCTCCTCTGTCACGAAGAAAATTAAAAACGAAGATCATTTGATTTCCTCGGACGACGGATTTCCCCGATAAAATTTAATCAAATCACTTGAGCAAAACCCAGAATCCTCCTCACTCCTCAGCTTCCGTTGAGCTCTCTCCATCTTTAGATTCCACAGTTCTCGTAAATTCGCCGACTTTTTAACTCATTTCCTGTTTAATTGTCTGAATAATATTTTAAATTTTGTTTCATTAAAAGTTCTTTAAATGGTCAACTGTGTTTTCCTCAATTTTGGTTAATAATTTAAGATTTGTTCACATGCATTCAATATTGAGTTTTTCTCTCATTTGTCCTCCTTTCTGAGTTCTGAGATTTGATCTGGTGCTTGACACAGATTCACAAATTCATGGGAGTTTCGACAAAACCCTGATGCCAGATTCCGTTAAAACGACGGTGGATCCGCTTCTGAGAGATTTGGATGGGAAGAAAGAGAGTTTCCGGCGAAACGTGGTCTCTATGGCGGCTGAGCTGAAGCAAGTGAGAGGCCGTTTGGTTTCTCAGGAACAATTCGTCGTTAAAGAAAGCTTATGTCGAAAAGTAAACTCCTTTTTTTTTTTAAATCTTCGTTATGTTTGATTCATTGTTTATTCTCCGATTGATTCTTCCTTTTTGCTGCTGCTTTGGTGGGGTCAGTTTTTGGGTTTCTGATTTGTTTTTACCAGAAGAGAAATGATTTGTTTCGTATGATTTTTGTTTCCTCCAGGAAGCAGAGACAAAAGCTAAGAACATGGAAATGGAGATCTGTAAATTGCAGAAGAAATTGGAAGATAGAAATTGTCAGCTTGAAGCTTCAACTTCTGCTGCTGAAAAGGTTTGATTTTTACAGACCTTTTCGTTGTATAATAATATACAATTTAAGAATTTGAAATCATATCTGTAAAGTTTGGGGCTTTGATAAGTGTTGTTTAGGATATGGTACTGAAAAGTATATGTGGTTTCAACTTTCTGAACTAATCATTACACTTTGGTATCTATTTGGATCAATGGCTCTTAAGATCCTTAATTAAAAGTAGATGAAGCTGAAGTGTGGAAACTTGACTCTGTTCAATCTCAAATTTATTATATTAAAATGTCCAATTGAAGCTTGACCTATTCAAAAAGAGCTCCTTTGAATCATTTTCGAATCCTAACTTGGTCAATGTAGCACAAGCTGATCTTTAGATAAAATGCGTCTCTACTTTGGCTTGAAAAGTTACATTCTTGTGATGAAATGCACTAAGTGGCTCATTTCACATTTCTGAAATGTTTCAAAATGCAAATGGGAATTACATTGTTTTTAAGTTTCAACTACTGATCCAAAGGGTTCATCTCAACGCAGCTCTAGAACCATTATATTCTTGAGCATCCAATGCATTGATTTAGGATCTTCCCGGTTGGTAATCGATTGGTTTGCATAGATGTTTACCTTTTTGTTCTGAATGTTTCTTGCCTGACTTTTGATATCTTTGAAAATAAGAGTTATTCATTCTAAGAATGTTTCTCTTATGCGTTATGATTTTGTTTTGAGAAAAACAGTTTCTAGAAGAAGTGGACGATCTGAGATCGCAGCTAGCTTTAACAAAGGAAATTGCAGAAACAAGCGCTGCTTCTGCTCAATCCGCACAGCTTCAATGCTCACTGCTAACAGAACAACTTGACGACAAAACACATTCTCTACGAGAACACGAAGACCGTGTAACTCAGCTCGGTCACCAGCTTGATAATCTCCAGAGAGATTTGAGGACAAGAGAGTGTTCTCAGAAACAGCTGAGAGATGAAGTTACGAGAATAGAACGTGAGATTACTGAAGCTGTTGCAAAGTCTGGGAAAGGCGCAGAATGTGAGCTTCGGAAGCTTTTGGACGAGGTTTCTCCAAAGAACTTTGAGAGAATGAATAGGCTATTGGAGGTAAAAGACGAAGAGATTGCAAAACTAAAAGATGAGATAAGGTTAATGTCAGCTCACTGGAAACTCAAAACTAAGGAGCTTGAATCCCAGGTGCAACATCCCATCCATATCTCTCTGTTCTTATTCTTTTGTTGAATCTTTGACTGATAAATCAACCATTTTCACAAAAATCAGTTGGAGAGACAGAGAAGAACAGATCAAGAGTTGAAGAAGAAGGTACTGAAACTGGAGTTTTGTCTTCAAGAAGCTCGTAGCCAGACAAGAAAGCTACAGAGGGTAAAGTTCAATATTGTGGCTTTTTTCTCGATAAAACTATTATAAAACCAAATGGTTTATTGAATGATTGAATGAATGGAATGCAGATGGGGGAGAGACGAGACAAGGCGATCAAAGAGATAAGAGATCAGATTACCGGAAAACAATGGAATGAATCGGATTCTAGGGAGAAACCGAACTTCTGGGATACTTCAGGGTTCAAGATCGTCGTGTCAATGTCGATGTTGATATTAGTGATTGTCTCCAAAAGATGAGTTCTTGTATTTCTTTGATCTTGAACTCCATTTTTGTTTTGTGTGTAAATGCAGTAGTTGCAGATAGAGTAGTAGATAATGGAGCTATAATACTATTTTGAGGTAAAGGAATAGAATTCATCCCCATTGTGAAGTTATAAGTTTGTGTATTTTAAGTCATTTGTCAAAAAGAAATTGTCAATTTCCGAAGATTAAAAAGTAGAATACCACATTTTATCTCTTAACAAAGTTTTACAGTTAGAAAATGATGGTGGTGAATGGTGATGACTGAGAAAGCATTAGAGTCGAACTTTCTCAAATGCTTCACTTCAGCTTACTTCACTATGTTTTTTCTCGGCCCATAGTAAAAGCCCAAGTACTTTTCGGCCCAATAACGTGAACCGCCTTTTCCTTGAAAATTAATGAAGAGTGTTTAGATTTTCACTTTCTCATCAGTTTTTGGTTAAACTCAGAGTCTGCGTCAAGATTTCTGGGGGAAAATTGAGTACGTTGTGAAAAACCCTAATTCCGTATTGCTAAATCTAATTGATTCATACCATTTTTGTTCGACGTTTGCGGGATTTTCATTTCCTCCGACGAATTTTAACTGCTAGCTTCGGAAGATGGCAAAGGAAGTAATCGCCATTAACGATGCGGTTCATAAGCTACAGCTCTCTATGCTCGACGGGATCACTAATCAGAAGCAGCTCTTCGCGGCGGGGAAATTGATGTCTCGATCAGACTACGAGGACGTCGTCACGGAGCGAACCATCGCTAAGCTCTGCGGTTACCCTCTCTGCCGAACATCTCTCCCTTCCGAGGTTTCTAGAAGAGGAAAGTATCGGATATCGCTCAAGGAGCACAGAGTTTACGATTCACAGGAGACGAGAAAGTTTTGCTCGGCGGATTGTCTTATTAACAGCCGAGCTTTCTCGGGGACTTTGCAAGAGTCTCGTACCTCGGATTTTAATTCGGTGAAGTTGAATGAGATTCTGGGTTTGTTTGGTGATTCGAACGTGGATGATTCTGTGGATGTGGATAAGGTGTTAGGATTATCTAAGCTTACGATTCGTGAGAACACTGAAGTGAGAGGAGGAGAATTGTCTCTAGAGCAGTGGATGGGTCCTTCTAATGCCGTTGAAGGTTATGTTCCTTTCGATCGGAGCGATTCCAAACCCGGAAATGGCAAACTCGGTAAGTTTCGATGATGATCTTTGGAGTGATCAACGATGTGATTTGATTGAATGTAAACAATTGTGATATAAGTTTGGTTTTGGCAGATTCCAAGGCTACTCATAAGAATCAAGAGAAGAGTGAGGACCAGCATTTTAGCGAGATGGAATTCACTAGCGAAGTTATATTTTCTGATGAATATAGTGTTTCAAAGCTTCCACCACAAACCAAAAAAGCTTCTCCTGTAAAGGAATCTGAGGAGGGCAAAGGGAAAACAATTGCGAAAGATCAAACTGCTGTTCCTCCCACACAAAAGAAATCGAGTAAGCACTAAGGAGCTTTAAAGAGTAGTAGACCTTATGGTGTAGCCGTATATGTTACGTATTCTTGCTTAGAGGCATTTGGCTGGTGTCATGAATGATTTTATTTATTACTATGGGACCCTGAGATCTTAAGATGGTTAGTAGGCCATTTGTGGTGATGTGTGAGGAAATAATACCGTTGTCCCTTTTTTAAATCTGGATGATTTTGAAGTCACTGTACATGTACAGGGTTTCGCCTAGAAAAAGAAAAGGACAGGAAGAATGTTGGGTTTGATGGGATGGATTTTGCGAGCTTTGGGTTTGATGGGATGGGTTGTGCGAGCTCTGTCACTTCAAATGATGGGTTCAGCGTTGAATATACTGTGTCTAAGCAACCACCATGTTCAACGGAAGACCCTCTTGGTAGCCAAATTAAAGAGGATCTTAAGACTTCAGATGAAAAAAGTCCTCTGACAGGTTCCTCTTCTGCGTCTAAGAAGAAGGGTTTGGGGCTTTCAACACAAGCTGGACAAACTTCTCATGCAAGGGAATCAAAGGGTGGCAAAGGGAAAACAGTTATTACTGATGTTAAAAAAACTGCAGTGCTTCCGTCAAAAAATTCGAGTAAGCACAAAGGGAGCTGTAGATATATCATATACTTAATTAGCTAGGCCTCACTTTCTGTATATCTCTTAGAAATGTCTCTGTATACTTTACTTTGCTCGTTTCAAGGGATTGATCTAATATCACGAATGGTGACGGAATCTTTACAGCTGAATCTTACGAGGGACTTAAAGCTCATGAGGATGTGTCTTCATCGATTGAAAACGTCACTAAATCATGCCTTAAACGATCTGGCCCTAAGAAGCTTCATCGTTCAGTTACTTGGGCCGATCAGAATGACGACCATGTTGATCTTTGTGAGGTTAGAGACAATGAGGACGTAGATAGTGTATCACGCCTTGCATTAGCAGAAGCCTGCGCTACGGCATTGCGCCAGGCTGCCGAAGCTGTTTCTTCGGGAGATTTAGATACAAGTGATGCCGGTAAGTCCATACTAAATTATGCTATGACACGCTTTGGGTGTCAATACTTTGTGGATTTCCATAAATTCCTAAATTTGGCACTGTCATGTTTCATATAGCTGCTCAAGCTGGAATCGTTTTGTTGCCAAGTACACAGCAACTTGATGAAGAGGTTTCCGAGGAGGAAACGAGTGACGACGAACCTACTCTTCTGAAGTGGCCAAATAAGCCTGGGATTCCAGATTCTGATTTGTTTGACCGTGATCAATCTTGGTTTGATGGAGTTCCAGAGGGATTCAATCTAACCGTAAGTCTCTTGTAAGCATTTTAAAAAAACTCACTCATTGTGGAGCTAACGTCACCGGTCCTGCTCCTTCTCCAGTTATCAACTTTTGCTATCATGTGGGATTCACTGTTTGGATGGGTATCATCGTCGTCTCTGGCGTACATATACGGGAGGGATGAATCTGCTCATGAGGAGTTCTTAACAGTTAACGGAAAGGAGTACCCCAGGAAGATTATAATGGGAGAAAGTCTCTCCTCAGAGATCAAGGAGACAATTGCTGGGTGTCTTGCAAGAGCTTTACCTAGAGTGGCCACTGATCTCAGGCTGCCAATAGCGATATCCGAGTTGGAAAAGGGACTGGTAAATCTCCAATCGTATCTGTTTTCGGTCTAACTAGGAAACCAAATAGCCTATGATCTAGCGAAATTGGTTATTTGTTTTGATCCATCTTTATCTCATGTAGTTGTAGTAACTAGTAAGTACTTCTAGAAAGACGGAATCATATTTGAAAATCGAAGCTCTTTATCCAAGATCCGCATTATAACCCAATCACAAACTTATGCGGTGAAGTTATACTTAGTTCTCAGCATTGTGGTTTGTGATTTGTTGTTGAGCAGGGAGGCTTGCTGGAGACAATGTCGTTGACAGGGGCAGTTCCTTCATTTAGGGTTGAACAATGGCGAGTGATTGTTCTTCTGTTTCTGGACGCTTTGTCTGTATCGCATATTCCTCGGATTGCACCTTATGTACTCAACAGAAACAAGGTCAGTCTCTCAGTTAACTGGACACATGATAAGGTATATAGTCTCTAAGTAAATTTGATCTGTGGATTATGTTGGTGTAAACAATCAGGTTTTGGAAGGAAGTGGAATAGGAAGTGAAGAGTATGAGATAATGAAAGACATTCTGTTACCACTTGGCCGTGTTCCTCAGTTTACTACCCGAAGCGGAGCTTAGACAAAACCCGGTTTATGCTTTACTTTGGAAGAGTTCATAATTAAGAAGCCATTAGAAGATAATGTATGAGAAAATCCGAAGTCAGGCTTGGCTTGCTTTTTACTAGAACAGTGATTTGACGCATTTCAAATTTCCTATACGATAAAATGAGTCAGAGACGCTGTGTTCCTTTTGTAATTTTTATTATAAATTGTGTCTGAAAAACTTTTGCAAGTCGTGATCAATGCGTATATATTTGAAAGGAAATGTCAAACTTCCTTGACTCAGACATGATTTTGGTCTAAGATCTTGATTCTTAGACGGTGTGTTTCATGCGTTTTTTCTATGCATGCGACAGGAAAATTATGATTGACCAAGTTGTACTCTCCTTTTTGATTTTTTTTTTTTTCATTTCTTTCTTTGACATGGAAATTTTCTGTTTTCTGGGCTGAACATATACTTGCCTACTTGGGTTGCGTAAAACAATCAATCCATAAAGAACACCCTTCTTTCACAGTAAAACGAAAGTTAACATCCCCTTGTGTTCCTAGATGAATCTCCATGGAATATCATCAAATATATAAATAGAAAATTCTCCAAATATTTATTTCCAACAATATTGAATGTAGGAGGTTATAAATCCAATAATTGGATGAATTATTGAGATAGCTTACTAGATAGGGTTTCTCTCACCTTATAAAAGTGGTCGTTGATTAATCTCATTTTCTTTTTTATTGCCTCTCCGACACGTTTGACCCAACGGCCCATTTTTAGCTTGTGGTCTCCTTGGTATATTCTTGTACATCATACACACATTTGTATAAAATGACAGTACTACCCTCTCTGTTCTTCCTCTCAACAGAAACAAGGTTTGTCTCATAGGTAATCGGACTAATATAAACTCTTATGGTATTTAGTGGTTATTTTACCAAATAAATTAAAAGAAACATTATGTATTGAGTGGTTTTTTTATTAATCGCATTAAGATAATGGGTTCTATGTGTATTTTCCATAATCCTTATCTCTCTCTGTCTCTCTTTTCGTGTTGGGGACAAGACTCAAAAAAGTTTGAATGGTCAAAACTCAAAAAGAGGAATAAACCAAACCCAATGTAACTTTCAAAACCTTGTTACTAACTTCGAAAACTCCATTATTATTATTGTTTTTTCACTTAGAGACTGCCAATTTGTCTGTTTTTATAAAAACAATGATCCTATAGTCCAAATGTTGTATCACTATTTATCAACAGAAGACTTTATAAAATTCATTTATTTTTATTACAATATGAAAAAATGTCTCCAACGCATTATAGCATACGCCTCACGAGAAGCCAGCTTTCGAGATTAGGGAGACGAAACACATTTAAATAAAATAAAGTTTCATAATTCGTCTCGCCGGAAAACAAATAAAGTAGAGAGAGAGAGGGAAGGATTCATCATCAAACCCACCACCATCCCCATTAATCGTACGGATCTCTTCTCTTCGTATCTTAATTCTTCTTCTCTCTGAAGATCTTCGTCTTCTTCGATCTGGGACTTTTGGTATTCATCGGTACGTTTAAAGTTCTCTTTTTCTTCAAGCTTTTGTTTTCGTTTTCATCTCGAATTCTGGGTCTCTGTTTCTTCTTGGAGCTACCAATTTTTTTAGGTGTTGTAGCTCCAGATCTGCTTCTGTTCAGTCAGTTTTATCATCAAATTTCTCCCTCCATTTTTATCGGCGGATTCTCTCTTTTACATCCAACTTAATTTCTCTGTTTAGATCTTCTTACCTTTGTCTCTGAAGTTACAATTTTTAAGGATATTTTGAAGTTTTTTTTTCGTTGAAAAACTTCCCTATTATGGCTGAAGTTTGATTTATTTTGTTTCTTCGGTTATTTTTATTTTAGCTATAGTGTTTGGCTAAGCTGATTCATTGACTATAATGTTTGTGTATGTTCTGTGTTCCGTTCCCATTCAAATTTTTTTAATTTTATATTTTTGATAAGCTTTAAAGAAGAAGCTTATCCTTGATCAGAAACTAATTAGTACAGCAACAAATGTCGTCACATTGGACTAATAATTAAATTGCTTCTTCAGGTTGAGTTTTTGATTCTAATCGAGAGTTTGAAGAGTGAGGTCAAAGAAGGAAAACGATTTTGCAGCCTTAAAATGGCAACAGTGGGCATAGCTCCTCTTCCAGGGGCAAGAGACTCAACTGGTGTTGATAAATTACCCGAAGAGATGAATGACATGAAGATTCGTGACGATAAAGTAGGTTTTGATGCTGTTTATATCATACAGTTTCTGCTCAGAGTTGTTGTATGTTGATAGAAAACTAAAATGGATTTTGATTGATATTGCTAGGAAATGGAGGCGACTGTTGTAGATGGAAATGGTACAGAGACTGGCCACATTATAGTGACTACTATCGGTGGAAGAAACGGCCAACCAAAACAGGTTTTTTTACTTCTTCTTGATCTCTTAAGTTTTGATTCGTTAGATTTTTCTATGTTTGGTTTTGATTTCCCTCACATGTGAATGCAGACGATCAGCTACATGGCCGAGCGTGTTGTTGGCCATGGATCTTTTGGTGTTGTGTTCCAAGTGAGTTTTGTTTCAATCTCTCCATAGACTCTGATCATTTATCAATCAATGGACTGAATTTGATTCCTCATTTTATTTTTCTTGAATGATTTAGGCGAAGTGTCTTGAGACAGGAGAGACTGTTGCGATAAAGAAAGTTCTACAAGATCGGAGGTACAAGAACCGTGAGCTTCAAACCATGAGGCTACTTGACCATCCTAATGTTGTGTCTCTCAAACATTGCTTCTTCTCAACCACCGAAAAAGACGAGCTTTATCTCAATTTGGTTCTTGAGTACGTCCCAGAAACGGTTCACCGTGTTATCAAACATTACAATAAACTCAACCAGCGAATGCCTCTCATATACGTTAAACTTTACACGTATCAGGTAGCGATTATTGCATTTGTATTTGAGTTTAGACTTTCTGTTGTTTGGATCACTTATCGATTTCTTTTTTTGTTTGGCAGATTTTTAGGGCCTTATCTTACATTCACCGTTGTATTGGCGTGTGTCATCGCGACATAAAACCTCAAAACTTGTTGGTATGTATAAGAATTCACTGTAAGACCTCAAAACTTGTCAACTTTGTTTTGACACTTTTTGCTAATTTTTCAGGTAAATCCACACACTCATCAAGTAAAACTATGTGATTTTGGAAGTGCAAAAGTATTGGTGCGTTTGATTATCTCTTCTCGTTACATTTTCTCTTGGAAAAAGAAATATTTTTACCATTGTAACTTCTGAAAACAGGTAAAAGGAGAGCCAAACATCTCCTACATATGCTCGAGGTATTACAGAGCACCTGAACTTATTTTTGGAGCAACTGAGTATACGACAGCCATTGATGTCTGGTCTGCGGGATGTGTTCTTGCTGAGCTCTTGCTTGGACAGGTAAAACAAGAAAATCTTATTCACACACTTCTGCTCTACTGAAACTGGAATTTTGTGGTTGAGAAACTCTATCCTCTGCTCTTGGCAGCCCTTGTTCCCTGGTGAGAGTGGTGTTGATCAACTTGTAGAGATCATCAAGGTATAACCTTTGCTTGCACATGTTCACTTTATTAACGCTTTCTTGGTTTCAATAAATTTTGATGTAATGTTTTTGTTTTGCATTGCGAGTAGGTCTTGGGAACGCCTACGAGGGAGGAAATCAAGTGCATGAACCCTAACTACACGGAATTCAAATTTCCTCAGATTAAAGCTCATCCATGGCACAAGGTACTATAAATTAAACATTATATACATGAGATCAACATGTTCACTACTGTCTTCTTCAGTAGCAGTTTCAGTTACAGTCAGTTTGACAATATCTTGTCATCATATATATATATTAACAGATATTCCACAAACGCATGCCTCCGGAAGCTGTTGATTTGGTCTCAAGACTACTTCAATACTCTCCCAATCTACGATCTGCTGCTGTGAGTATTACAAGTCAACATTCTTGTGTGAATCTTTTTGATGTTTTGCACAGTTTTGTTTCCTTTCCTCTGACATATAACTCCATTCACAGCTCGACACGTTGGTCCATCCATTCTTTGATGAGCTAAGAGATCCAAACGCACGTCTACCTAATGGACGTTTCCTTCCACCGCTTTTCAACTTCAAGCCTCACGGTACAAAATCTTCCTTCCCTAATAATCTCTTAGCTTCCATATATATAGACTGTGAGATTATAACTTGAGCTTGCTGTGATTGTTTTGTGAAACAGAGCTGAAAGGTGTGGCTGTGGAGATGGTAGCTAAGTTAGTACCTGAGCACGCGAGGAAGCAGTGTCCTTGGCTCGGCTTGTGATTTCCCTAAATGTAGCACCAAACACGAGTCACTTGTACTATCATTTGCACCTCTCTCTCTCTCTCTCTCTCTCTCTCTCTCTCTCTCTCTCTGTAGTCTGTATCAATATATGTCAGTCTGATATATGTACACCTTTGTTTGTTGTATGAGTAGAGAACAAAAGAGTTGTTATATTACTGAGGTAAGGTTGGTTTATAATGTAAAAGCCATCATGAGAATTTTAATATCAAAGTTAAAAGTTAAAAGTTAAAAGTTAAAAGTTAAAACCATAGCAAGTTCAAGTTCCACAATAACTTGACGAAATCTCACGCGCCAACTGGTGCGCGTGTAAGTCAATTCTGAGACATGTTAAAAAGCCAAACTTTTAATACGAGCTTTCGATTTTACCGGCGACGATTAAGGGAAGGGAAGATGCCGTCGGGGAAATATTACTGCGATTACTGCGACAAGGAGTTTCAGGATACTCAAGTGGCTAGAAAACGCCATCTTCAAAGCAACCCTCACCTTCGAGCTAAGGCCCTCTGGTACAGCTCTGCTTCGGGTATCTCTCTCTTCTTCTCTCTCTCTCTCTCTCTCTCAATGGTTTGCTTCTGTTGTTTATTAAGGAACGATTTTTGAACATCTCCATTTGCGAAATTTCGTAGATCGCAATCAACAAGTCTCCAATTTTGCGCCGAGGGGTTTATGCAATCGCTTCGTTACCTCGGTACGTCTTGAATCTAATTGTTTTGATTTTGACAAAAAAAAAAAAGATAAGAGTTTGGGGGCATTCCGAGAATTGAACTCGGGACCTCTCGCACCCTAAGCGAGAATCATACCACTAGACCAAATGCCCTCTTTGTTTACTCTATTTCTTGTCGCTTCTTCTCTGTTTCTTGCTCTGTTTATTTATCTTCCTAGCAATCTCTATGTTAAAGCTTTTGTTCTTACCTCTGAGTGTTTGCCAGAAATGAATCAATGTATATATCATCTTTGTGTTTCTCCTATCTTTTTTTTGTTTACATGATATAAATTCAAATCTTAACTCCCATTTTGTCCTTGTATTTTTCTTAATGGTTTTTCCAGAATTTTTGTCCATTCGGAGATTCTTGCAGATACTTGCACCCTAATAACAACATTCCAGGAAGCACAGGTTTGGCCAAAACTTAAAAACCAGTCTACATTACTTGCATTCTAGATTCTGTTTTGTGTTTGCTCAAAACATCATCTCAAATGCAGGTTTCGCCAATAATAATACACAACCTCATGATGGCTTCCCTAACCAACACATTCAAGCAAGTAATATAAACCGTATGCTTGCTTTCTTTCTTTCTGTTGTCATTCAACTTCTCTCAATCTTTTAACGATAATAATAAACTTTTAGGTAGATACATATATCTGATGCTGCAAGTCTTTTTTAATTGTCAAAAACAGGTGATTTCGTTAGCGGTGGACCAGGAACAGGTTGGTTTGATCTTCCGCCATCTCTGAAACCGCCTCCTGAACAAGGCTATCCTCAGCTTCCTTTCATAGACTGGGGATAGAATCATAGAGACCTACTCTTCTTTCTCTGCATCTGATACAACAACTTTGATCTTTAAAAACAGGGTCTGATTACTTTACATTTCCGCAATTTCTTCATCTTGCAAGTTTTTGCTTTTCATTTGCTTGTCCGAAGCAGAACAAGACAGTGAGATTTCATTCCACAAACCAAACACTATCAAAGACATTCAACAAAGCTGAAGCACTTAGTAGCTCATAAAGCGCTTAAGATTGATTAAACCATGTGGGTACAAATTATACTGATGATAAATGTTACTCAAAGCTTTAAATTTATTTCGTCCTATTTCAAACTTCTTCCTCAAAATCCTTAATCTTAAGCTTTATGAGGAGGTGGGTAATTTGTAGGAGGTGGAACAGCTCAGTCAGTGGTCAACCCCTGTCTTGTCCAATTTGTAATTGTAGGATGATTGTAGAGTCTTGATTTTTGAAGATTGGTTCTCTTGATTGTCAAGAGCGAGGTACACTGTGACATGTTTTGGCAATGCAGCTTCTTGAGAGTGGCTTGACAGTGAAAGTGAAGGAGTAGGAGCTGTTGAGGAGGAACTTGAGTGACACTGGCTGCTTTGGATTCGGTATCCAGGACCAGGAGCACATTGGTCTTGGAATCAACCAAGTGTCAAACATATATTCTTAGCCTGCTTCGTTAAAAACTCAATGTTAGGTAATATTGTCTTTTATCCGCAACTCTGTTTACTTGGAATTCGATTAGTCCTAGTGCATCTTAACTTGGTTTTAGATCTCTTGGTTTCACACATATTCACTTGTTTTCATGATTCTTGTTTATCTTCTACAGTTTTCTCTTGTCTCCCTCTAAATGTGCATTGAAGGCAAGTGTGTAGTTCAAACAAACAAACACTTAAAGATTATGAGGTCATCATCATCATCTTGCATTTCTATCTTTTAATCCATGTTTTTTTGTTTTTTTGTTTTTAATCCAACAAAAATAATCACTGGTTAGTGTTGGGCACAAAAGTTTGTTCAATAGGTTTGTGACTTGTGAGTATATGTGTCATGTGTCATGTTTAAAATTAAACATTCATCGTGGACTGAACCAACTTATAGCCGGGGTAATCTTCGCAATTAACCAAACCTAGTCGAGAAAAAAACCCCAAGTAATCATTAATACTCTCTTGTTAGTTAGGCTATAAACTATGCATAAAAAGGCCACCACAGATGAAAGACGAAATCAAACCTAAACTGTATAATCATGCAGGAATATGAATGGATTGATACAACACGAGGAAATCTCTTTGTTGCAGCTACTGTCATCGGCGGGATGGGTTTCGGCCTTATGGTGAATCCCCCTGGTGGAGTCTGGGAGAGCGTTGACTGCGGCTCCAAGTCCACCGTTTGCACGACAGCCGGAACCGCCGTGCTAGGGGACGACGATTCGATGCGTCCCTTGTATCTTGGGATGCTATTTAGCTCCATCATCTCCTTCTCTGCCTCGATGTCTCTCATTCTGCTCTTAGTGAGCGGTCTGGGGCTCAGGTAAGAGTCTTATTTCGTCATACTGTAATCAATGAGCGACTGCTTTAGTTAATGACTAGTTAGTTCATTTTGGTTTTTAAACAGGAACCGGTTTGTCATCGCGGTCATGAAGTTTCTGATGATTGTTGCTGTTCTCTGTGTATCTGCCGCCTTCTTCTGCACAATGGCGATGATTCATCCCACACTTCCTTATATCCGTATCGCATACCTTGGAATCTGGGGAATCTTGGCAATCGTAGTGTTGGTGTTGTACGGAATTAGGCTCATTTTTCCCAAACCAGAAACCAGAATGGGAGCATAATCAAGTCAAAGGAAACAGATACATAAAAGATGGAAGCACAACTTTATATATTTTTATTTCGTTTCTTCTAAGACCTCAACCTCTCTATCGTTTTTAAGCGGTGTAAGACCCAACAACCAAAATGTTTCTCAAGTCATATTATATATATCAATAAACTTAAAGAAGAAATTGTGTTAAGGGACATTTGTTTCACATTTCTTAACCAAATTACTTGTATTTACTTTACATAAACGTTTCGTATGATTCTTTACACATTGAATTCCCTAAAACAAAAAAAGACAATTGTACACGAAACCAAATCTACACTTTGACTGTTGTTGTTCCGTGAGCTCATCAGCTGCTCCCATCTTCGACAACCTCAAAAGCAATTCTTTCAGATAAACCTGATCAACAGCAACCATGTTTAGTTTCAAAGAATGTGACCAAGTTGTGTACACATTAATCAGAGCGACGATGGACGCAGAGTGTGTTCTGATATAGACGCCGCAAACGGTAGCACATTCTCTGATATAAGCTTTCTCGATTGCAAAGAAAGAGCTCTGCTAAAATTCTCCTACATGTCTCTTTCTCAGCTTAATGTCGTTCCATAGTTTGACCGTATCTTGATTGTTCAAGACTCTCAAGAGCTGAAATGACTAGCTAAAGTTGAGAGAGTTTTAGCAAGCCAAAGAGGTTGGACGTTTACCTGGGAATGTATTTGTAGATGGTGAGCTCTGTCTACTTAACCAAGGATCATCATTCATCTACTCTAGTGTGCATCTACGAGCAAGAGTAAATCCGAGTATTAGCATAATCACAATTTGAAAGACAAACCGTCATATTCTGCTAAACTAATTATACACCAACCAATTAGTTTCAATTACTCGTTCCAATTAAAAGATGTACTCCCTCCGTTTCAAATTAGTTGTCATTCTAGCGAAATGTATTTGAAATTATTTGGATGTATTAAACTCAAAACACATCCAGATACATCCAAATAACTGTAGATACATTTTTGTAAAATGACAACTAATTTAAAACGGAGGGAGTATTTTATATTTACATATGTATCACGCGTGTTGTAATCTGATTACATATAAAAAATGAAAAACATACATATGTAGTTATTTCTCTTACAAAACTTAATATTAAATAAACTCATATTTTACTATTACATTTTGATGCATATTATAGCATATTATTAACATATTTTATGAATATTGGGAAATTTTAAATTTTTAGAAAAGAATAAAATTTATTTATTTCTTTTTCCATGCAAGTACCCATCCCAAAGGTTTACGATCATCTCTTCTAAAATAAATTTCATCAGTTCTTGCAATCCAATGACGCAACCCACTCCTCTTTGAGGGACGTTTACCATCATATACTTCAAGATTATCAAAATAATATTCAGGTGCTTTCCCATAGCTTAGGAAACAACCATATCTTACTCTATCACTAGTGCGGATGTGATAAATATTACTATCATTGAAGGTGCTTAATGTTTGGGATCCTGTTTGCAAAGGCATCTTGCGGCCACCGCCTTCGCAACGATAATTGAGAGAAATACCAGGGCCTAGTTGATTTTGAATTTCAAAACGATTAGGAACATAGGAGACAACTTCATTCAATCCAAAGTACACAGCAATAGCAATAGCTAAAAGAAAAATTGTGGAATGATTCATTTTCAGTGAATATGTTTTTGGAGTAATAACAATACCAATGTGCAATTTTTATATTAAAGAAAATGTATGGAAAACGATTACTTTCAATTTTTAGATAGTCTTTTTATGGCATTGGCTAAATTATAAAACAAACACAAACCAAGTAAAATAGTGAAGATTTTTTTTTCAGTTTAATGTAAAAAAATGATTAGCCAAAAAATAAAAACCAAATAAATGAATCATTGTAAACCGTAAGAAAGACGAACCACCATTAATTTCAAAAGCCCTCCGCATATTTCTCCACACCTCCAACTCCATACTCCCTCTATTTCTAAATATAAAATGTTTTACCTTTTATACAGTTATTAAGAAATATTTAATAGCTAATTATTAATATATTGATTTCTACACCAACTATTTTTTCAATAAACACTAACCAATTGTAATTCAACTATTCAAGAATCCAAATACTTTTAGTTAATACTTTTTGAAGTTAGTATTATGCTAACATTAATTAACAAAAAGGTAACTTTTAAAAGGCCCATTAATTATCATCATCTATGTAAAGTCTAAAATATAATCTTAAACACTATATTAAACGAATACCATCTGAAAAGTTAATGTTGTTTTAAATCTTTTAAATATCTTTCAGTCCCCGTCAAAAAAAAATATATCTTTCAGTCTAAAATGCAAAACACAGTCTTAGCTGTTAAACCAATGTTTTATGTTTATATTTAGCGCCATTTATTTCAATGAGTTTTTTTCATTCGCATCCTTAAAATAAATCTCATGTCGTTTTTATAGACAACATTACATTTTTTCTTTTCTTTTCTCCGATAGATTCGTAAATTTTTTAGTTCCAAACGGTTATGGGCCTAAAACAAACCATGGAAAATCTTATTATTTAGTTCCAAACGGTTATGGTGTGTGGTAATCTTCCGACGTGTGATCAGTGTGATGATGATTTAAATTTATGTTTCTCTTTCATTTCTCCAAAATCAAGATTAACTCATTCAAATCAGAAACGAATCAAACTTTTTCTTTTATCCCTGGCAAATTCGATAACGATCTTTGTTGGTTGTGGATTAGTTATGCTTTAATTGTAGCTTAAACTATGCAGTTTATAGGCTAGAAGATTACTATAGAAGATTAAGGATATTTGTATGAAAAAAGGTCTACTGGATATTAGTTAATTAATTACTAATTCTTATAATGTTAGCTTGAAGCTGTTGAATATATTCCGGAAAGAAGGAAAACGAAAGAAGAAGCGCTCTTTGTCATATATATAAAACACATTTGGGTGTTTTATTCTTCGACAGATTCCTTTTCATTTGTCTTTTGACTGTTTCCTCTTCTATCTTGCTTGATTTTCTGTTTAGTTAATAATATCATTGGACAACCCCACCAAATTATTGTTGAATTTATTGTTTTTAGGAGTTTTTGGTACAATTGTATGAAATTACCGTAGTCTAGCCTAACACTCTAATTATAAAGATATAGTGGGTGTGGTATTTGATTAAGAACTCTACTAATAACTTCTTCTTCTTCTTTTTTTTTTTTATAAAAAAACTATATTTATTCAATTCATGAAAATATTAGAATGATAAACATTGGTCGTGAAATCTTTCAAACTTTTCAGAACAGATAAGTAGGAGTGCCAGATTATAATTAGTTCCTTGATAAAATAATCAAATTAAAATGTTATAATTACAGTCTATTGATCGAACAGTATTTAGTTAAGTATCTGAATCCTAACGTGTTTACCATATGTTCAACACAAGTATAGTACATGAACATACATGTTCCAAATGTTCATTTACGCATATAATAATGTGATCATTAATTATTCTGAAAATGATTAAATTTGTAATTAATTTGCATATAATTAAGGTTTTCAATATATCCGTAAGCTACATAATTGATATGTTTACATAAAATATACAACTGAGTTTTTCTGTAAACCCATAAGAAAACCGTGACACTAGTCATATCTTTTATTTTATTTACATTGACTAATTTTTACGTATGAATCCAATTAAGTGGTAGAGTTTGGCACTAATTCGTTGAAATTTGAAGAGCGAGACGAAGAATATTAAGATAAGAAAGCACCAACAAAGCAACATTACCGTGTTTAGACTTTTATAAAAACAATACGTTCTTTGTAGTGTTTATATAGCGAAACATAAAACAATACACGCTTTTTGTTTGATTCGATCACTCTTATAAAAAAAGTTTGAAGAAAGTACCCAAAAAAAAGAAGACTAAAAGAAACTGAGAACTTGGATGCCTTTAACTGGGGATGAATTAAGAAAAATATTTATATGAAAAATGGACACACGAAATACCCTCGAAGTTAACAGTGACTAAGAGGTTGTGGTTGTCTGACAAAACCTGAACAACCGTCCGATTGTATTACCAGATTCCACGTTTCTTCATCTTCATTTGCACTTTGAGATTCTCGAATAATATCTCCATTACTATGATTTTCCTTACATTGATTACTATGATTTAAGCCTGGAAAACAAATAATTGTACGAGAATGGATGGAAAGTCGGAAACCCTAAGGCCTAATTTTAAAATGTACTTATACTCTGCATAAATTTCAAAAGAACACAAAATGTGAAGAAATAAAAGAATATGTCCAAATAATTACAAGAGACACATAAAAAGAATATGTGGGACCAACTACACTTAACCAAACTTTATATTCGGTTTGATCACTCCTAATCCTAAACAAGACCAATCAAGATTCGAACCAAACCAGACCCCAAAAAACCCTCGCAATAAGTTGGTTTGCTTAGTCAGTCACCCTATATATATTCATCCTCAAAACCTGAGAACTCTACCATCTCCACATAAAACACAAACACATCATATTAAAACAACCTTGAAAACATCTTTAGTTTTTTTTCTTGAATATTGGTGTATTCTTGTTCGGTCTAATATGGGAGGTAATGGCAGAAAGAGGTTCTCGCTCTTCAGCTTCTTTAAAAGACGAAGATCGTCGTCTCATAGAGTTGAAGCAGACAAGTCATGTGACGACGACGTCGTCTACACAAGAAAGGCATGGGCCAGTGACGAGGACAAACGTTATTGGGTGGCTGAGCCAGGTATTGACCGTAAAGCTTCTGCTTTTATCGCCAAGTTCCATGCCTCTCGTGTCTCTGAGTCCGAACGCCAAACTCTCCCTCCTTGTCAATCTCATCACGAGTAGCCATCATCATAATCATGACGATGAATCAAGATCAAAAGCAACTCAAGACATAACCCTGGTTATAGATTATGAGTTGATGATGGGTTGATTCAAGCTTGTGGAGCCTTTTCCCTTTGACGTCTTGTTACTTAGGTTTGAAATCG